CAGGCACGTGCCACCATGCCCAGCTAATTTTTTGTATTTTTAGTAGAGACGGGGTTTCACCATGTTGACCTGGATGGTCTCGATCTCTTGACCTCGTGATCCACCCACCTCGGCCTCCCAAAGTGCTGGGATTACAGGCGTGAGCCACCGCGCCCGGCCTTTTGTTTTTTTGTAGAGACATCAGTTAGACAAGTTTCCCAGTCTGGTCTTGAACTCCTGTGCTCAACCAGTCTGCCCACCTTGGTCTCCTAAAGTGTTGGGATTACAGCCATGAGTCACTGCACCTGGCCAAGAATGGTATTTTCAACAAATGGTTCTGAGACAACTGCTTAATCACATGCAAAAGAATGAATTTGGATCCCTCTTATCCAATACAAAAATAACTCAGAAGGCATCTAAGGCCTAAACTTGAGTTAAACCAATCTGGCCAGGCATGGTGGCTCATGCCTGCAATCTGCTACTTGGACGTTGTTGGCACGAGAATTGCTTGAACCTGGGTGGCGGAGATTGCAGTGAGCCCGATCCCATCACTGCACTCCAGCCTGGGTGACAGAACAAGGCACTGTCTCAAAAAAAAAAAGAAAAAAGAAAAAAGAAAAAAAAAAAGAAAATGTTAAACCTATAAAACTCTTAGAAGAAAACATAAAATATAAATCTTCAAGATATTGGCTTAGGCAGTGTTTTCTTAGACCTGTGACATCAAGCATAGGCAACCAAACTAAAAAAAAAAAAAAACAGAGGCCGGGCGCGGTGGCTCAGGCCTGTAATCCCAGCACTTTGGGAGGCTGAGGCGGGTGGATCATGAGGTCAAGAGATTGAGACCATCCTGGTCAACATGGTGAAACCTCGTCTCTACTAATAATACAAAAAACTAGCTGGGCGTGGTGGCGCGTGCCTGTAATCCCAGCTACTCAGGAGGCTGAGGCAGGAGAATTGCCTTGAACCCAGGAGGCAGAGGTTGCGGTGAGCCGAGATCGCGCCATTGCACTCCAGCCTGGGTAACAAGAGTGAAACTCTGTCTCAAAAAAGAAAACAAAAACCAGAAACTGGACACTGGCAAAGTTAAAAAAAAAAAACCTTTGTGTATCAAAGGACACCATCAAGAAAGTGATCTATCAGAATCAGAGAAAATACTGCAAATCATATATTTGGTAAAGGTCTGGTATTCAGAATTCAGCTGGTATTTACCTATACCTCAACAGTAAAAAGATAACTCAATTAAAAATCGGTGGCTGGGCACAGTGGCTCAGGCCTATAATCCCAGCACTTTAAGAAGCTGTGGAAGGGCCGGGCGCGGTGGCTCAAGCCTGTAATCCCAGCACTTTGGGAGGCCGAGGCGGGTGGATCATGAGGTCAAGGGATCGAGACCATCCTGGTCAACATTGTGAAACACCGTCTCTACTAAAAATACAACAAAATCAGCTGGGCATAGTGGCACGTGCCTGTAATTCCAGCTGCTCAGGAGGCTGAGGCAGGAGAATTGCCTGAACCCAGGAGGCGGAGGTTGCGGTGAGCCGAGATCGCGCCATTGCACTCCAACCTGGGTAACAAGAGTGAAACTCCGTCTCAAAAAAAAAAAAAAAAAGAAGCTGTGGGGGGTGGATCACCTGAGGTCAGGACTTCCAGGCCAGCCTGTACAACATGGTGAAACCTTGTTTCCACTAAAAATACAAAATTAGTTGGGCGTGGTGTCACGTGCCTGTAGTCCCAGCTACTTGGGAGGCTGAGGCAGAAGAACTGCTTGAACTCTAGAGGTGGAGACTGCAGTGAGCTGAGATTGCATCACTGCATTCCAGCCTGGGTGACAGAGCGAGACCGCATCTCAAGAAAAAAAAAAGTGGCTATGTCATATGTCAAAAGGGGAACAGTCATCCTAAAGATGGCGTCTTAGCATTTCATCTTCCCTCTCTGATATGCTTTTCCTGCTTGTGGATCCTTGCCTTTCTTTTCTTTTTTTTTCTTTGAGATGGAGTCTCACCATCACACAGGCTGGAGTGTAATGGACCTATCTCAGTTCGCTGAAACCTCCGCCTCCCAGGTTCAAGCAATCCTCCTGCCTCAGCCTCTCAAAAAGCTGGAACTACAGGTGCAGGCCACCACGCCCGGCTAATTTTTGTATTTTTAGCAGAGACGGGGTTTTGAGTAGAGACTCAGACTGGTCTCAAACTCATGACCTCAAGTGATTCTCCCATCTCGGCCTCCCAAAGTGCTGAGATTACAGGCATGAGCTACCTTGCCTGGCAGATCTTTGCTTTTCATCTTTGGCTCTCTGGCAATCTCCTGGTTCTGCTCACAGCATTGCCCAGTAAAATTCCAGCCAGTAGTCTGCAGTATGCTGAATCTGAAGCCAACGTTCTGATTTTCTATTAGGTTGGTGCAAAAGTAATTGTTGGACTGGGTGAGGTGGCTCATGCCTGTAATCTCAGCACTTTGGGAGGCCAAGGTGGGTAGATCACCCGAGGTCAGGAGCTTGAGACCAGCCTGGCCAACATGGCAAAACCTCATCTTTACTAAAAATACAGAGAAATTACCTAGGCCTGGTGGCACACACGCTTGTAATCCCAGCTGCTAGAGAGGCTGAGGCAGGAGAATCACCTGAACCCAGGGGGCGGAGGTTGCAGTGAGCTAAGATCACACCACTGCACTCCAGCCTGGGCGACAAAGTGAGATTCCGTGTCAAAAAAAAAAAAGCTGGGCACAGTGGCTCACACATGTAATCCCAGCACTTTGGGAGGCCAAGGCAGGTAGATCATGAAGTCAAGAGATTAAGACCATAGTGGCCAACATGGTGAAACCCCGTCTCTACTAAAAATACAAAAATTAGCCAGGTGTGGTGGTGGGTGCCTGTAGTCCCAGCTACTTGGGAGGCTGAGGGAGGAGAATTGCTTGAACCCAGTGGGTGGAGGTTGCAGTGAGCCAAGATCATGCCACTGCATTCCAGCCTAGCAACAGAGCGAGATTCTGTCTCAAAAAAAAAAAAAATTGCGGTTTTTGCCTTCAAGATATATATACACATACATATACATACATATAATGTATATATATACACATTAATATATATTAATATATAATTGCACTTTGTATATATATACATTTATATATATATTACTGTATAATTACACTTTCCATCATATATGTGTGTTTATATATATATGTATAAACATATATACACGTATATATACATATATGTGTGTGTGTATATATATATATATATATAAACACACACATACATATATGGTGGAAAGTGCAATTACTTTTGCACCAACCTAATAGCATTGAGCTGGCCTACCTCTCTTTGTTGCTACTACAGAGATTCTTTTGTGGCTGAAACTAGGGACAGTACAAGTTCAAGTAAGGTTCTATCATTAATGAATTACTTCCTCTAACTTTTTGGTTCTAAATGGTAGAGTAAGAGCTATTTGGTTATGTGAGTTCATAGTGCAATTACTGGTGTCCCACAGCAAGCAATAATGTCAAAGAGAAAACAAAATGCACATTACATTCAACAGAAAAACATGAAGTGCAGGGAAATGGGAGGAATCACGTTCCTGTTCTAAGTTTCAGCTTTCTGCAACAATTGTTCCTCATAATAAAGTATGTTGCTGAGAAGCTGGCCTGTTTCCTGGAGTTTCTCTCTCTCTCTCTCTCTCTTTTTTTTTTATTTTTTATTTTTTATTTTAAGAGATGGGGCCTTGCTATGTTGCCCAGGCTGGAGTGGAGTGGCTATTCGCAGGCGCGATCCCGCTACTGATCAGCACGGGAGTTTTGACCTGCTCCGTTTCTGACCTGGGCGGGTTTACCCCTTCTTAGGCAACCTGGTGGTCCCCCGCTCCTGGGAGGTCACCATACTGATGCTGAACTTAGTGCGGACACCTAATCAGCACAGCGCACTACAGCCCAGAACCCCTGGACTCAAGCAATCCTCCCACCTCAGCCTTCCGAGTAGCTGGGACTACAGGCACGGGCCACCGCGTCCTGCCCTGGAGTTTCTCTTAGGAATTTCTGACATTTCAGCAAGAATTTCCAAATACAGTTTAGGGTTTTCTATAGTCTATTTATTTATTTATTTATTTTTCTGAGACGGAGTTTCGCTCTTGTTACCCAGGCTGGAGTGCAGTGGCGCGATCTCGGCTCACCGCAACCTCCGCCTCCTGGGTTCAGGCAATTCTCCTGCCTCAGCCTCCTGAGTAGCTGGGATTACAGGCACGCGCCACCATGCCCAGCTAATTTTTAGTATTTTTAGTAGAGACGGGGTTTCACCATGTTGACCAGGATGGTCTCCATCTCTTGACCTTGTGATCCACCTGCCTCGGCCTCCCAAAGTGCTGGGATTACAGGCGTGAGCCACCGCGCCCGGCACCTAGTTAATATTTTCAATCAGAACCACAAATACTCTGCTAATTTGTTGGTAAAAAAGCAAGTTCAGTGTGAATTTTACTGTATTTCAAGAGTTAATAAAAACTGTCAAATCATTTGTAGTTGAGAAGCATACTAAGGGTTGGAAGGACCCGTTAATCATCTGATCTAATGCATTTTTAAATGTGTGGATCAATGTGTGGATGTTTGGACTATCAAACATCCCTTATTCCTAATAATTCACTTCCAAGCTTGTTTATTATTAGAGAGATAAGTTTCTTCCACAGAATGAATGGAAAATTTTTGCCCTGTGGCTTCTGCCCTGTGGTCTAGTTCTGTGCTCCAACGGGACAACACAGAACAAGTCCCCACAGCCTCTTTAATGTGGACTTGTTAATTATCCAGAGGCTAAAGATAATGGTTTTCTAATATCTATATTTGTCTAGTTGGCAGATAGCTTTAAAAATTATTTTGGGGAAATAGATGCACTTGCAAATTTACTTTCTGGATAGTGGGAGAACCATTCAGCTAGGCCTAGGTGATACATTTTGACCATCATGAACTGTTCCATGTGCCACAAAATTTTAAATTGTTCCATGTGCCACAAAATTTTTTTAAAAACTAAGTTTGCAAACACATCATGCTAAATAATTCAAATTTAAATTTTTATTATGACAATTGACATATTAAGTGAAATAAATGACAGAAGTATTATAATAAAACATTTTGAAAGAAAAAGTTACACGATTAGGCCAATAGCTATAAAATGGCTTTAGGCCTGGCTTATAACACCAAGAGTTCTGATCAGACTGTAGTGAGACACTGAACATTTCATTAACAAAAATATTGGCACCAGCCACAACATATTTGGGTTGTCACTTACAAGGAATATTGTATTTAAACAACTATGCACTGCAATTCTAACACACTAGGTGTTCATACACTGAAGTTAACCCCTGAAGCTTTAAGCTACCAAGAATTCTCATACTTCTTATGCACAATTTACTTTGTTATCAGAATTACATTTCCAGTTTTCTGATCTTCCCTGCCCCCCCACCCCCACACACATGCAGTACCTTATGTGACAGATAGCACTCCAGCTTCTATTTAACTAACAGCATGGTCCTGATTATCTCAAGAGTTAGTTTTATGCTAACCTTGGAGCTTCTGCTTTAAATCTCATCTCCTAGAAACCAAATAAAGCATTCTGAGAACCTATTCCAGGAATACTATTTTTTTTTTTAATGCATAGGAAAATAAAGCATTTCGTATAAGCATGTTGGAAAATTCAAGAGGCATTCTGATCAAACAGTTCCTGATTTCCAGCTATTACTTTAAATCAAAACAAAATTCTAAAATATACCACTTACAAATTCTTATCTGAAATTTGTATTCTTCACATGGAAACTCATGATCCCCAGGCTTCCCTTCTGAATGAGGATAGCAAAAAACGGGTGCTGGCAACACATGAATATAGCTTTGATAGAAATTATGAAACACTCAGATGAATATAATTCAAGAACACACTTGTATTACAAAGGTGATAAATTAATGGCAAAATTATCAGATGGGAAACGTACTGGCATTAAACAAAGCTGTCAACATACCATGGTGAAATGTGCCATGTAAAAGACTGCTAGAATCAGAAGTCCTACAAGATTTCAAAATACCTATCAAATAAGGAGGATACTGAAATTTGAATTTGACTTCCCTTGCTGCCTCACTTCAACAGACAACTATTCCTATGGAATTAAATCCACTGAATAACCGAATAGAGCAATCCTAGTTTTTTTCCTTCTTTTATATGAATAGATTAAAATCAAGCCCTGCTCCAACCCCATCTTAGCATAGGACATGCTCTTTCAAAGTGCATACAAAACTTCATGGCAGGTTTGGGCAAACTACAACAGATACCATCATCAAGAAGCTGCTTTGAAAGAGAATAAAACACCAGACTAACATTGAGAATACCCTAGTTAGGCATCACAAAAATCATGCACTATTAAGAATATGCTGTTAACAGCCAAATTTGGGGATTGTAGCTGTTCTGATCCTGAAAATCCATTTACTAAGATAAAGTAATCCGTGTGTATATATGTACGTATGTGCATGTGCATGTTTGTGTGTGTGTGAAATTTTCATGCAGTGACCTTAAAGCTTTGGAGACAGGGCTTGTTAGTCTAATTTCAAGGTTTGTCCACATAGCAGTTGACATGCACCAATTCAAGGGCAGGAGAATGAAAAAGACATGGCACAACTTTTTAAACAATTTTAGGTTTAATTACATAATGCACGTGTAGATGATCTAGCATAAACACAATTGTAAAAAATCTACATCCTATTTTAGGGCATTTTCCCACCTCCCATCCCTTAAAAGCTGTACAGTTATTAAAAAAAATGGTGACTCTCAATCAAAATAAACTTTTCTTTTTGCAACATACAAAATAAGTTAAATGATTCAGAAGCTTTTGAGCCATGAAGTTCCCAATAACTGTGTTCTGGCTGTTCATAAGCATGATGTGCAAGCTGCTGGTCTATGACCAGAACTCAATAAATACAGATCAAACAAAATCCCAAAACACTTACATTAGATTTCTTTAGAAACTGATGAAAGTCAAGAAAATATATAGTTAAGATTAAAAATTCCATTCTCAACTTACATCATCCAGTGGCAAAAAGCACAAGGCAAGTATTCAGTCCTTAGCACACTTTCTAGCTTGTACTGGTTTGGGGAAAAAAAATTCTTTTAAAAATGTTTTTTCTCATTCTAAATAGCCAAGAAGTTTAATAAATTTCTACTCACCTATTGTTATGGCCTCTCATATAGCTTATGTATAGGATAGTCATATTTTAAAGTTATTAAAATAAAAACATCTTAATTAACTGAAACCACAACAATGTGCCAGAATTGGGCTTACTGAATTTTCCAAAGTGGTATAAATACAAAATGAAAAAAAAAAAAAAAAATTGTGCTCACATGTCCAAAAGGAGGGAAAAAATTCCACAAATGGGATCCTATTCTAACCAACTTCCAGGACGATTTGAATGAATACAAAAAGTGGTGAGTGTATAAAGTGGTTACATACTAAGCTCACTATATTTGGCTTATGACTGCTTGCTTACTTGAAATTACTGTCTTCAAGTCTTAGCAATTCTTGGCACTCAAAAGATGTTAAAAGATAATTTAAGTTGGAGCAAAATACTTTAAAAACAAATTAAGTGAACATATAGCAACTCAGTTTAAATACATTGATAGCAAAAGACTTTGACCTTCAGGATTGGTATAAAAACGACACAAAAAATCAGCTCACCACTGCCAAGGTAGGCTTACAGGTACACATTTTGAGAAAGGTAGATAAAATAGGAATGGATTTTAATCTAAGAAGATTCAATAACGGATCACTAAGCAGAAGAGGACTAGGTATATTACAGCAGATGCGCAGTATTGGCATTCTCTGCTTCTTGGAGAACCAGGAATATATTTTGAGAATGTCAAACAACAGGAGAAACTTATCTAGATTTCCTGTAATTAAATGATGCTCATAATATTTCTATCAGTTGCAATGCAGCCATCTTATTTCTTTCAGTAGTTTATGATGAATTAATTTTATTTATTTGGGTACTTATCTGAAGTGTGTGCGCACACACACATATACACATGTACCATTTAAATCTGGGTCTCTGAGTAGTTGTTCTATAGCTGTGAGGCATCACCTTGAATAATGGATCTGTTCCACTGTGTTGGTGAAGAGTGGAGCTCGTAACTTTTTCTGAATATTAAACTTGTCGATTCATTAGGTTCTTTACAGTTGTGTGGTGGAACAAACTATCAAAAATGGTTAACATCTCTCAAGCCCACAAACAAGCTAACAAAGCATTCCTTGCGACCAAGGACACTGCCTCAATCCCACTTAAAAACAGCTAAAATTTCCTCATCATTTTGATGGTTAACTTAAACAAGTAAATGTCCATATTTTTCTTAATATATGTACTTTGCTCAAATGTATATTATGGGATGGGTTTCATCAACCAAAAAGTAAAAACGGTATGTGTAATACCCTTTTAAAATTAATTCGTTTAAAAATTATTTTTCAAAAGCTTCATTAGTTTTCAAAGTTTTTGGTTCTTTGGCAGATTCCTTTTACATAGATTACCAGTAGACACAAATTTATTCTAAATGAAACTCCCCTTTGTCCTCTGAATCTGTGACATTGACCCACTGAAAAAAGGATGTTGAGGAAATACAACTTAATGTACATTCTTGAAAATCTTTCCATCATTTTGCAGTAATGTGCCAATAATGGAAAAATTTTTTACACTAAACACTATTTCATCAGCACTGATGCACAAAACCAAAATGTTTTTTAGTCTGAGTCCTTTTCACATGTATTTCGGTTCAAAGCTTCTGCTTTGTGAAAAACTGACTAGTTTTCAAACCTTTACAGAAATCACAAACTAAATATACTGAATATTCATCTATATCTCCCCTTAATGTATTTGCTCTAGAGTCCAACTAGTATTTGACATTGGGAGTCCAACATGTATTTCGAAAAAGGTGGTTTAAATTATTAAAGGGCTCTACTATATAGCAGCTATTGTGTATCTAAATCCATGGTTAGTGCTCTAACTGAAGATCCAAGACTGTCTAAACTCTAGATCTATACTTTCTGCAGTTCCTAGTGACTGTATTGTCTTGGTATACAGAAAATTTCGTTCCCTAAATTTTTTTTTTAAACTTCTTCAGAGTACCTTCTGAGTGTACTTCAGTGAACACAAACTCTTTGAGGGACTGAATCCAAACTCCAAGCAGCAGAACTGTTTTTGAACTGCTCAAAGTTTAATCACCAATAATCAGTTAATCTGCATAATTTGTATTTATCAACCACTTGGATTACATTCTTGGTAGATGAGCTATAGCTAATTGATTTAATCAAACTATAAGGTGAGAAGGCATACATTCACTATCAAGTTAACAAACACTTATTCAAGTTTGGTAAATATCAGGCAGCACAAGTGGTCTCCAAACCCATGTCAGTGGGACATTTGATAATTGGAATACTGAGTCTTTGCGAAGGTAAAAATTACCTTAGACTTTCTGTAGCAGAAGGGTAGAAAGAATGCCTTATTTCACATTATGCATCTGTTAAAATTAATTATCTACCCATTTAATACTACTTCTCATCACTTGGCTTAAGTCAGGAATATAACTAATAGGTGGAAAAAGGAGCTGGTGTGTCCAGAGGTAGAGACAGGGCACACAGGAGAGTTTCTACACAACAGTGGCTTTACCCAGCTGCAGGATTAAAACGGTAGAGCGAGTCTAGGTGGCAGGAAAGGCCACCTGTACATTTAAACCACTTACCTTGCACTAGTAGAAATCTTTCTATTGCTTGCCTGTTTTAGTTTAAAAGATTCTTAGCTGACTTGCAAATAAATAAAACAAACCTAGCTGGAAAGGCAACTGGAAGTGAATGCAGCTCCTTCCACAGCCCTGCTTTACTGTCTGTGAATGTAAGCCTTTCCCTCCCTTCCAGTGGAATACTTCTCAAAATAAAATTCACAATTTACTTGGAACCACATGCTATTGGTGCATCCTATTTTTAGGCTGCTTTCATTATTTTATTTTTTTTACAGATACATACACATTGCTAGAATTAAAGCAAAAATATTAATGGGCAGGTACTACGGAACTAAAGTGAAACAAAACAACCAACAACTGAAAAACAATAGCTATAAACTTTCAAGGCCAACAGATAAGATTTAAGGGCAATACCTGTTGAAGAAGGAAAAAGGAGGAGTATAAAGTTCCTAGAGAGGTATTTATAATGCAAATCTAATGCCAGCTTTTTAGTAATAAAAAAGAGAAGTGCTTTACTATATACACTGACTAGCACATAATACTTAATTTGTAAAGAAAAATTAATGACGTTCCTTGGGCCAGCAGCAGATATGGCGTGTCCGTTGCCGGCAACAGACACAACACTGGAACAGAAAAACCCAAATCCCAGGGCAAAAGTATTCACAGAAATAATGGTTGAAGGTTTCAGAATTTAACAGGCTAGGTTTAATCACAAGTGCTACACTCTGTACAATGTTATGGCTCTGCCTGAAATTTTACAGCTATAACAGAAACTAAGTAAGACAAAGTTCATATTTTAGTGTCAATTACATGTTAGGTATTTAGTTAGTTACAAACCCCTTTTTCCTGAAACAAAGGGCTTATCTTTCTTTGAAGTGTTGAGATGTTTGAAATGGATGTCATGCCTATCAATTACATTGGCAGTTCTCATTCAACTCTATGTTGGTTGTATGACTATTAACGAATTTTAATAGAAGTCTAATGGCCAAAGGCCAAAACTACATTCAAACTCTATTAATATATCCAGGCAGATAGGAAATTCCAACACACACGCACACACACACGCGCACACACACGCGCACACACACACATACGCGCGCGCTAAACTCAAACTAAAAACCTCCCAAAGGAACTGCTTTGTTTGTAGACTTCAATTTGAAGTAGATACTAAGGGCAAGAACAGACCAGTTAAAATTCACCTGAAAATCTCTTCCCAGTCTTCAAATGTGCTAAAATATCACTGTCAGCTTAGCATCTCTTCATGTATGTTATATATAGATGTATTTTTTTCAAAATGATCAGATATTTAAACATCAAGTGGCCAGAAGACAATAGTTACACTATTGGCAAAGTTTACAGTCCACTCAGGCCTAAGACCACATTCATTTCACTAATAACTCTCCATCAGACATAATATATTTGAGGCCACCTTGTTACCACTGCATAAAGGTATTTTAAAAAATCTTTTGCTAGCACAGTCTGGATGGCAAAGCTTCATTATACATTTTACTATACAAATACTTTTCAGATGATTTTATTTTTTTTTTTAAACAAACTCCGCTATAACAGAAATTTAGGTTAATTATGATGGTACTTTCACCGTCTCTTCTTTATTAAGTGTGGTTATCTCCAAGAGTAAACAAGTTGCTTTCACAAAGGCTGTTACTAAATGACTTATGTATGATGTTATCTATAATTCTCAAACTGTAACAGTACAGACTTGAACTTTTAAACTGTCTGCTAATCATCATCTATGCCATGAATGTTTAAATATAATATATATTTAATACGAAAAAGCTAAAGCACAAGTGCTTTCTCCCACCCCTAAATTCTGTTTTGGGCCCTCACAGATTTGGAATGCATTCTCATCCACCCTTTTTCACAAAGTCAGGAGAGCTCAGGAAATATAAAGTCAAAAATATACAAATCTTTGTTGTTATTATAATAAGATTTTTTTCCATGAATGAAATTACCAAGGACCATGAACCTGGAAAAAGAAAATCAAAAGGAATTTACAGCAATTATTTATCTTCAAAGTTCAAAACTGGTCACTTCACAGAAAGACTTCAGGATTTGTTGAAAGTTTTCTTCTAAAAAGTCATTCTGTAGTGGAGTTTTCTAGGAAAAATTAAACAGCTTTTAATAACTGGCCCGCTGGTGTGAGAGCTACCGTGGAATAAATTAGCACAAAAATGGAAAAAAAGTCTTATAACTGTTCACTGTTACAGACATAATCAACAAGGTCAGTCACTCTCAAAAGCTCATCTTCCTCCTCTTCTGGTGCTCCTGCCTCCTGCCCACCACTTGTCCCATTGGAGGCTAGGCTTGCACTGGCTGTGCTGCTGTCCTTGGGGGTCTGAGACTTCTCAGTAGGCTTGCCAATCAAGTTCTCAATGGCTTTGCCAGGACTCTGTCCATTGGTTGAAGGTAAGTCCACTAAGCTATAGTCCAATGGGCTCCCCACTTTGCCCACATTTTCAAAGTCCTCTTCCTCATCACTTTCTATCCGGTAGGGCTTCTTGGTGCTCTCTTGTTCTGAGGGCAGGACCCTGGGCTGGCTGTCATGGGCAGGTTGATTTACATCTCCATGAGCATTGTCACAACTCTCCTCATCCGTCTCAATACGGTGTAGCCGTTTTCGGGATGGTTTGCCTTCCTCTTCCTCCTCCCCATCTGCTTCTGAATATTCATCTGTGCTTCGGCCCCGCTTTCGAACTGACTGCTTTGATTCTTTAGCTAGCTCATCATCTTCAGAGTTCTTGGACAAATAGCTCTCTAGAATAAACAGCACATTTAAGCCATTGGCACAGTTAACCACAAACAAAGTTAATTCTCCTTTTCCTCCCCATATTCACCGCATGTCCTGCTTTCAGAATTGCTTATATGTAAATATTTCCTTTCAATAATTAGCCTGATTTCTCTTTTCTCAGTCGCATAATAATGCCCAATATGATTCATGGTAACGCTTTATTTATGATTTTAGGCAATATTTTCTTTTCCTTTTTATTTTTTTGAGGTGGAGTCTCACGTTGTCTCCCAGGCTAGAGTACAGTGGTGCAATTGCGACTCACTTCAACCTCTGCCTCCTCGGTTCAAGCAATTCTCCTGCCTCAGCCTCCCCGTACCTGGGATTACAGGCATGTATGCCACCATGCCCAGCTAATTTCTTTGTATTTTTAGTAGAGATGGGGTTTCACCATGTTGGCCAAGGCTGGTCTTGAACTCCTGGCCTTAAGTGATAAGCCCACCTTGGCCTCCCAAAGTTCTGGGATTATAGGCCTCAACTACTGTGCCTGGCCAACAGATTTCTTGGGGAAGAGGTCTGATAATGCTTGAATTAAATGAAGATAGGTTATTTACAAACTAAGAAAATCCTTCCCACTAGTACACAAATTAGGTTATCGTGTTAACATGCTGATAAAGAAAGATTCAAACTGGGCACCCAACTCTACATATGAAACAATGTGCCACCTCTCATCTTAGTTATCAGACGCCCTTGGTAGTCTTAATTGTCTTCTCTTCATTGTCTATACAGTTGGGCCTCCCTATCCGTGAATTTAACCAACTGCAGAAAGAAAATATTCAGAAAAAAAAATACAAGGTAGTGTCTAAACTGAAATTTTTTTTTTTTTGAGACGGAGTTTCGCTCTTGTTACCCAGGCTGGAGTGCAATGGCGCAGTCTCGGCTCATCGCAACCTCCGCCTCCTGGGTTCAGGCAATTCTCCTGCCTCAGCCTCCTTAGTAGCTGGGATTACAGGCACACGCCACCATGCCCAGCTAATGTTTTGTATTTTTAGTAGAGATGGGGTTTCACCATCTTGACCAGGATAGTCTCGATCTCTTGACCTCGTGATCCACCCGCCTCAGCCTCCCAAAGTGCTGGGATTACAAGCGTGAGCCACCGCGCCCGGCCTAAACTGAACTTTTTTTACACAGACTTTTTTCTTGTCATTCACTAAATAATATAATAATACAGTATTAACAATTATATAGGCCGGGCGCGGTGGCTCAAGCCTGTAATCCCAGCACTTTGGGAGGCCGAGGCGGGTGGATCACGAGGTCAAGAGATCGAGACCATCCTGGTCAACATAGTGAAACCCCGTCTCTACTAAAAATACAAAAAATTAGCTGGGTATGGTGGCACGTGCCTGTAATCCCAGCTACTCAGGAGGCTGAGGCAGGAGAATTGCCTGAACCCAGGGGGCGGAGGTTGCAGTGAGCCGAGATCGCGCCATTGCACTCCAGCCTGGGTAACAGGAGCGAAACTCCGTCTCAAAAAAAAAAAAAAAAACACAATTATATAGCATTTACATTGTATCAGGTATTTTAAATATTCTAAAGATGATTTCAAGTATATGGAGGATATGGGTAGGTTACATGCAAATATGACACCATTATATATGAGGGACTTGTACATAAAAGGATGTTGGTATCTGTGGATATCCTGAAATCAATCTCCCATGGATACTGGGAGAAGACTCTACTTCCATTTAAGAAAAGCTCACCTCATCTCATAACTTGGCATGCCGTCTATGTGCTGATGGCTCTCACATTTATTCTAGGGAACCACCGAATTCCAGACTAGTGTATCAAACTGCCTACTCAACATCTAGGCTTGGATATCTCTAAACAGGCATCTTAAATGCTATGTTCAAAACTGAGCCCTTAAACTTTCTCCTTAAACCTGTAGCACTGTGGTCTCTACCATCTTAAGTTTTTGGCAATTGTTCCTCCAGTCGCTTAGTCATCCTTGATTCTTTTCTTTCATCCAACCCAACAGTAAATCCTTTGGGTATCACTTTTAAAACATATCCATAATATGACTGCTTTCACCCCTTTACTGCTACTGATCTAATTCCACCCTCCATCATCCCTCACCTGGACTATTACAATAACTTCCTAATGGGTCTTCTAGCTTCTGCCCTGGTCCCCTTCAATGTATTCATAACACAACAACCACAGCAAATTAAATCCTATGTCAGATCATATCACGCCTCTGCTTAAAATGTGGGATGGTTTGTTTTCCTCTTTCTCCTCCCTCCTCATCTGCTTCTGAATACTCATCTATGCTTTGGCCCAAATGTTTCTTACCTCTCGCAAAATAAAAATCCAAAGTCTATATAATGCCCTACTCTGTGTTATTTAATATGATAAACACTAGTCACATGTGGTTATTTTAAAATTTAAATTAGTTAAAATTAAATAAAAATAAAAATTCAGTTCCATGATCACGTTAGCCACGTCTTAAGTGCTCAACAGCCATATGAGGCTAGTGGCTACTGTAATGATCAGCATAGTATAGAAAGTTCAACTGTACAGCACTATTTATCATCAGAGGTTAGCACATTTTTTATGTGAGAGGCAGGCCTTACCGTCTCAGTCACAACTACTCAACTTTTTGAGAAAGCAGGCAACAGACAGTATGTAAACAAATGGGCATGGTAGTCTTCCAATAAAAATTGCATTAGCGGGCTGGATGCAGTGGCTTACACCTGTAATCCTAACACTGTGGGAGGCCAAGGTTGGGGGGATCACTTGAGGCCAGGAGTTTAATGCCAGCCAGGGCAACACTGCAAGACCTCATCTCTATAAAAAAATTAAAATATTAGCATGGTGTGGTGGTTTATGCCACTTCTAGTCACTTGGGAGGCTGAGGTGGGTGAACTGCTTGAGCCTAGCAGATTGAGGCTGCAGTGAGCTGTGATTCTGCCACTGCACTCCAGCCAGGATGAGACCCTGTCTCAAAAACAGAAACAATAACCTTGCTTTGCGAAAGGTTTATTTATACAGGCAGGTGGGCTATTGTTGCTGACTGGTCCCCACTGACCTATTTGCTTCATCTCATTATGCTTGCCCTCACTCACTCTGCTCGAACAACCCTGCACTCCTTTCTGTTTGCTCAACATGACAAGCACACAAATACCTCAAGGCCTTCACATTTATTGTTCCATCTGTCTATATCATTCTTCTTTTAGATAACTGCATAACTCACACACAATATTTCTTTCACGTCTTCACTCAAATGTTGTCTTCTTTTTTTTTTTTTTTTTTGAGACGGAGTTTCGCTCTTGTTACCCAGGCTGGAGTGCAGTGGCGCGATCTCGGCTCACCGCAACCTCCGCCTCCTGGGTTCAGGCAATTCTCCTGCCTCAGCCTCCTGAGTATCTGGGATTACAGGCACGCGCCACCATGACCAGCTAATTTTTTGTATTTTTAGTAGAGACGGGGTTTCACCATGTTGACCAGGATGGTCTTGATCGCTTGACCTTGTGATCCACCTGCCTCGGCCTCCCAAAGTGCTGGGATTACAGGCTTGAGCCACCGGGCCCGGCCAAATGTTGTCTTCTTAATGAGGATTTTCTTAGGATACTATCTGAACTTCAACTACTTTCCCAACTCCCTTTTCTCCTTTATTTTTTCCACAGCACTCATCTCTAATATATCATATTTTCTATTTATCTATCTTGTTTATTGTCACTCTCCCACCAACTAAAATAAGAATTTCCTAAGAGCTATTTTGTTTGTTGTTATATTCCAGTGCTTGGAATAGGGCCTAGTTTAATAAATATTCGTAATGGTTGAACTAATGAACTTATGTTTGTCTCTGTGAAACATGAAGGTAAGTACACATTCAAAAACGATGTTTACCTCCCTACTTTAGCATCCCACATCCAAACATCTTTTTTCCCTTTCTCTTTTGTCTTGGGGTCAAACATAAATTCACGTTTAATCTATGAATGTAAACAATCTTCAAAACAGGCCATAAAGCTGGGCGCTGGGGTTCACGCCTGTAATCCTAGCAGTTTGGGAGGCCGAGGCAGGTGGATCACCTGAGGTCAGGAGTTCAAGACTGGCCTGGCCAACATAGTGAAAACCCTGTCTCTACTAAAAATACAAAAATTAGCTGGGCGTGGTAGTGCACACCTAAAATCCTAGCAATTGGGAGGCCAAGGCAGTAGAATCATTTGAATCTGGGAGGTTAAGTTTGCAGTGAGCCAAGATCACACCACTGCACTCCAGCCTGGATGACAGAGTGTGTGTCTCAAAAACAAAAAACAAAAAACCAGGCTGTAAACAATGATGAATCACACATATTAAACAAATAGGTTGGAAGGTGAGAGTTGGGGTCATTTAAAAGGAGCTTAGGAAGAGCTCTAGAATAACTACAAAGAATAAATGAAGGCTAGGAGTGGTGTCATGTGCCTACAGTACCAGCTACCAGGGAGGCTGGGGTGGAAGGATCACAGTATTGCCATATAATCATGCCTGTTAATAGCCATTGCACTCCAGTGTGGGCAACAGAGAGACCCCTCTCTAAAAAAATTAAAGGCTGAACGCGGTGGCTCACGCCTGTAATCCCAGCACTTTGGGAGGCCAAGGCAGGTGGATCACTTGAGGCCAGGAGTTCGAGACTAGCCTGGCCAAAATGGTGAAACCCTGTCTCTTAAAAAAAAAAAAAAGACAAAATGGATATCAGAAATTCATATTGTACAGCATGTATCGTATTACTGGTAGGGGGCACTATAGCTATTAAGAAGTAAAAGTTGGCCGGGCGCGGTGGCTCAAGCCTGTAATCCCAGCACTTTGGGAGGCCGAGGCGGGTGGATCACGAGGTCGAGAGATCGAGACCATCCTTGTCAACATGGTGAAACCCCGTCTCTACTAAAAATACAAAAAATTAGCTGGACATGGTGGCACGTGCCTGTAATCCCAGATACTCAGGAGGCTGAGGCAGGAGAATTGCTTGAACCCAGGAGGCGGAGGTTGTGGTGAGCCGAGATCCCGCCATTGCACTCCAGCCTGGGTAACAAGAGCGAAACTCCATCTCAAAAAAAAAAAAAAAAAAAAAAAAAAAAAAAGAAGTAAAAGTTACCAACTGAAATCATAGTCAAGGTGGAAAGAGACAGTAGACTGATTTGAAACCCTTCAGCTACTGAGGACGTAAGAGGTTATTTCAAAATGAGGGTCATGAATAAGAGAGTAAAAAAAAAAAAGTAGAGTAAATCTTGATTAGATCACAATTTCCTGAGACTCTTCTAGTTTCAATGAAAATTTTAATTACAATGGAGATCTTAAAAATTAGCCTCTTATTGAGTATGATTTATTTAAACTATAGCAGGCACAAAATTATGGGTTTTATCTCAAAGATACTACTGGTTATACTACTGGTTATATATATAATATATAATATATATATATATAATTTTTTTGAGACAGTCTTGCTCTGTAACCCAGATGGAGTGCAGTGGTGCAATCTTGGCTCACTGCAATATCTGCCTCCCGGGTTGAAGCAATACTACTGCCTCAACCTCCTGAGTTGCTAAGATTACAGGTGCATACCACCACACTGGCTAATTTTTTTATTTTTAGCAGAGACAAGGATTCACCATGTTGGCCAGGCTGGTCTTGAACTCCTGGCCTCAAGTGATCTGCCCACCTTGGCCTCCCAAACTGTAGCGATTATAGGCACGAGCCACTGTGCCTGGCCTGCCTGATTTTAAAGAATGGTACAGAATCACAATCCTGAGTTCACGTTATAATGTCTACTTTGCCCTGTCCCAAACTTCTATACATAGGAGACCTATGCCTTACCTTCACTATCTGAGCTGGAAAGTCTTCGTTTGTGGACTCGCCTTATTTCTTTACCACGTCGCAGACTCTTCTGGGAACCATCACTTTCTGAGTCTTCTTTGTAGTTAATTTGTCTTTTCTGATTTCTCCTTGACCGCCTTCGCCGAGTTTCTACAAAATCATCACTAAAATCATCACTGAAGTCACTTTCTATTTAAAGAAAAGGAAGAAAAAAGTATAAAATTTATATCTATTAAGTAAAAATGTAGCTTAGGTTCTAAAAATGAAAAGCTACTAAGCAGAGTTTGGTCATAAATATTTTTAAGTGAACAATAACTTTTATAAGTCTCATTTTATTTTATTTGAGAGTGTCTCACTGTCACACAGACTGGAGTGCAATGGCATGAATGCGGCTCGCCACAGCCTCAACCTCCTGGGCTCAAAAGATCCTCTGGCCTCAGCCACCCTAGTAGTTACAGCAAGGATCACAGGCACACACTACCATGCCTGGCTACCTCTCAAAGTATTGAGATTACAACAGGCCTGGCCTTTAAGTCTCACTTAAAAAAAAAAAAAAAGAAAAAAGAATGAGTCAAAGAATGAGTCAATCTGTGGGGTTTTTTTTATGCCAAACCTCACAATGTATAAGTGGTGAAACCTCAAGATTAGAAAATATTTTATTCTTTTTTGTTTGTTTTTGAGACAGAATCTCACTATTTCGCCCAGGCTGGAGTGCAGTGGTGTGATCTTGGCTCACTGCAATCTCCACCTCCAAGGTTCAAGTGATTCGCCTGAACTAGCCTCCCGAGTACCTGGGACTGCAAGTGTGTGCCATCACGCCCAGCTGATTTTTGTGTTTTTAGTAAAGATGGGGTTTTGCCACATTGGCCAGGCTGGTTTCAAACTCCTGGCCTCAAGTTATCTATCTGTCTCGCTTCCCAAAGTGTTGGGATTACAGGCGTAAGCCACCACATCCAACCTAAATATTTCACACTTTTTAGCAACAGTCCTTATTGCATGACCTAGAGCTACCTGGTCAGGTGGACAGCTGCCATGACTGCTCTTCTTGGTAGACAGTTACCACAAATCCGCCTCCTGATAATCTGCTGTTCTAACTGTGGCTACAGCCATAATGTATTGCAGAAGTTAAGCCCTCTAACCAAAGAAAACTCATGAACCTGTTCCACATAAATATAGAACTAGAGTTGTACTTTTGACTTTTCTCCATGTAGAATACAAATCTGCTAAATAAAGCACACATACCAGAGTGAGGCTGTGGCATTATGTCACAGCTGTTTTTCAGAATGTTAAATTCCACCAAAGTACCACATTCAAGCTGTTACTCTTTTATGGATTTCATAGCTAGCCAATAGATTGAAGTGATTCTCATTGGCCAAATTTGGGACAAACAGAACCTAAATAATGATGGGAATGTATTATATCCACTGAGTAGAATAAGAATCCACAAGTATACATTGACATAAAGAAATAAATACATGGAGAAGGAAAAGTTCTTCCTTACAGAACAACAATAAATAAATGTAACAGGAATGATGGAGTTAGAATTATCCATAGAAACTAAAACTAGCAGGTGAAACATATGAAACAGGATATTTACATAGTCTCAAATTTCCATGAATTATTAATTATAAGAAAAAATAATAAAGAGACTCAGAAGATGCAACATTCTCTGTGCTATTCCTGCCAAAAATGCATAATCTGAATCTAATCACAAGGAAACAAAAAAGTCGAAATTGAGAAACTTTTTTTTTTTTTTTTTTTTTGAGACAGAGTTTCGCTCTTGTTACCCAGGCTGGAGTGCAATGGCGCGATCTTGGCTCACCGCAACCTCCGCCTCCTGGGTTCAAGCAATTCTCCTGCCTCAGCCTCCTGAGTAGCTGGGATTACAGGCAAGCGCCACCATGCCCAGCTAATGTTTTGTATTTTTTTTTAGTAGAAACAGGGTTCCACCATGTTGACCAGGATGGTCTTGATCTTTCGACCTCGTGATCCACCCGCCTCGGTCTCCCAAAGTGCTGGGATTACAGGCTTGAGCCACCGTGCCCGGCCCTAGAGAAACATTTTACAAAACAACTAGTATGCACTCTTTAAAAATATCAAGATCAATGAGACAAAATTTAAGGAAGATTCTGGATTAATTGAGACTAAAGACACATGAATAAATGCACAGACATGGAATGGATCCTGGGTGAGAAAAAGAAAAAAAGGATATAAATAATAATATGGAGATACTTGATAAAAATTTGAATGTGTACTGTTGATTAGGTAATAGCATTATATCAATGTTAAAATATCCGATTTTGGTAACTGCACTGTGGTTATGTAAGAAAATGTCCTTATTGAGCCGGGCGCGGTGGCTCATGCCTACAATCCCAGCACTTTGGGAGGCCAAGGCAGGTGGATCATGAGGTCAAGAGATCGAGACCATCCTGGTCAACAAGGTGAAACCCCGTCTCTACTAAAAATACAAAAATTAGCTGGGCATTGTGGCACGTGCCTGTAGTCCCAGCTACTTGGGAGGCTGAGGTAGGAAAATTGCTTGAACTCCGTCTCAAAAAAAAAAAAAAAATGTCCTTAAGAAATAATCACTGATAGGCCACGCATGGTGGCTAACACCTGTAATCCCAGCACTCTGAGAGGCCAAGGTGGGCGGATTACGAGGTCGAGATCAAGACCATCCTGGCCAACATGGTGAAACCCCATCTTTACCAAAAATAAAATAATCACTGATAAAGGGGCATGATATCACCACTTACATGGCTTAGGAAAAAAGATAAAATAAAGAAAAAAAAGATAAAATAAAAAAAACCCCACAAAGATGGCCAGAGTCTGATACTCATATTTATGGTTCTTCTCCAATTAAGATGACATCTATCAATTTGCCAACTGCATAAAGCGTGCATTTCTTTTAGCAGTTGAGCCTCTCATTAGGGATAAGCATACTCTATAATAACATCAACTACTGTTAATCTGTAAAAACTACTCAATCACTGACTGTGGTCTAAATGAGAGTTAACTGATATTTTTTCTCTCCAATAACTGGGCATCTGAGGGAAATGTTCACAGTTTATTGAGAATGATTTCCAAGAAACTCTACGAAGATGAAAGCTTAGGCATGGAAACATTTCACAACCAAAGGAGTCATCACAATCCTACTAGGCATCTGATATGAAGTTAACATATCAATTTGTATGTATTTTCCCAGATGTGCTGTCTATGAGAAAAATTTAGTCAGAAGTAAGTCTTAAGAACGGAATTTTATTTTAAAAACTCAACTCCAGAAGTCATAAGAATTTGTTGAGCTGAGGTATGATATGGATACAGATTATTTTTACCAGAGTCTCTACTATTCTCCTCAGATTCCTCTTCTTCATCATCATCAGAATACTTTTTCTTTGGGGTCTTTCTTCGCAAACGCCTGCTCTGCCTCATTGGCCGAGAGGGATGTCGCCTCAGTCTACGGCTACAAAAGTCAGTGTCACTGTCATCGTTAGATGGTGGATCTTCTTCACTTTCATCTGGGTTTTCATCAGATACAACAAACTCATCTTGAGATCTGCAAGAGAAACCAGATAAATTACAATGGTATTTAGAAGACTGAACCCATTTTTGAGAGTTCCAAGTTCAAATTCTAGTGAGCCCAGTGAATCATTACGTAACGTATTGTGCAACATATCTACATAATTGTATCAAATGCCCTATTTATAAAATGGGGAAATGTTTTGCCACCTAAGCTGTTAGGAGAGGTTGTAAAAATGAATTAATGCTGATTTCTGTATTGCTTTGACTTCTTGGGATGTCCCCTATGTTAAATTCAATGTATCTAAAAGTGAATTCATTATTTTCCAATCCACTTGTCTCTTCTGTTCCCTGGCCTGGCATTTGGTACCATCACCCATCCAGTAACTCAAAACCAGAAACCTGCTATTTATCCTGATTTTCTCCTTTTAATTTCTCATATCTAATCAATTACTATTTTCACTAGAATCCACCTTTTTTTTTTTTTTGAGACGGAGTTTCGCTCTTGTTACCCAGGCTGGAGTGCAATGGCGCGATCTCGGCTCACCGCAACCTCCGCCTCCTGGGTTCAGGCAATTCTCCTGCCTCAGCCTCCTGAGTAGCTGGGATTACAGGCACGCGCCACTATGCCCAGCTAATTTTTTGTATTTTTAGTAGAGACGGGGTTTCACCATGTTGACCAGGTTGGTCTCGATCTTTCGACCTCGTGATCCACCCGCCTCGGCCTCCCAAAGTGCTGGGATTACAGGTTTGAGCCACCGCGCCTGGCCTAGAATCTAAATCTTAAAAGACAATCTCTGAAACCTAATCTCTTGTTTTCAACTTTTTTTGTTTGTTTGTTTTTTGAGATGCAGTTTCGTTCTTTTTACCCAGGCTGGAGTGCAATGGCGCGACCTCGGCTCACCGCAGCCTCCGCTTCCTGGGTTCAGGCAATTCTCTTGCCTCAGCCTCCTGAGTAGCTGAGATTACAGGCACGCGCCGCCATGCCCAGCTAATTTTTAGTATTTTTAGTAGAGACGGGGTTTCACCATGTTGACCAGGATGGTCTCCATCTCTTGACCTCGTGATCCACCCGCCTTGGCCTCCCAAAGTGCTGGGATTACAGGTGTGAGCCACCGCGCCCGGCCTGGAGTTTCGTTCTTGTTACCCAGGCTGGAGTGCCATGGTGCGATCTCGGCTCACCGCAACCTCCGCCTCCTGGGTTCAGGCAATTCTCCTGCCTCAGCCTCCTGAGTAGCTAGGATTACAGGCACGCGCCACCACGCCCAGCTAATTTTTTGTATTTTTAGTAGAGACGGGGTTTCACCACGTTGACCAGGATGGTCTCGATCTCTCGACCTCGTGATCCACCCGCCTCGGCCTCTCAAAGTGCTGGGATTACAGACATGAGCCACCGCGCCCGGCTGTTTTCAACTTTTCATACCTACCTAAACTACAAATGCAACTCTGCAAATAGTTTCTCTAGTATCTAGTCTCATTTCCCCTCAATCTATCCTCCAAATGCATGCCAAGATGACTTTCTGAAACATGAATCTCATATTAATCTAGTGTTTAAAACCCTTCACTAGTTTTGTATAATTTTCAGCATAAAGTCAAAACACTTATGCATGGCAAATATAACACTCCCTAATCTGGTTCTTTTTATCTCTTGGCCGCATCTCCAGTAGGGCACTCTACTCTGTCCTCTTATTCCTGCTATCCTGAGCTAACAGGAGTTTCCCAAATATTCCATGACATTTTGTGGCTTGCTGTCTTGGACATATGACTTCTTTGCTTAGAATGCCTTCTTTCCTTATCCTGCTTTTAGTCCCACCCTTGTTGATTCCAAATATTCATTCTTCAAATTTCAGATCAAGCTTTACTTCTACTTTAAGTTTTACTCCTTGGATTAGGCCAACTTTCCTCCGTGCTCTAATTTATCTTTCCCTGTATTTTAGTAGCAGTTATGCAGGATGACTTTTGTTTGTGGTTTATATGCTTGTTTCCTCTTCTAATAATCTCAAAGGAGAAACTCTGCAGTATTGTTTCAATTCCAACTCCGCACAGTAGCCTTTCTTGATCTTCTATCCTGGATTACTGGTTCCAAGTCCAACTTCTATGAATCATGAGAGGAAAATATTTAATTACTTATTTATTTCTCACATAGGACTGCGAACCCGTCATGGACCTGGTAGGTGGCACAAAGGTACAGAGAAGGCTCTCAATGAATGAAAGTTTAATTGTAGTCAGTAAAATTTGAATATAATTTTGAATATTAAACAACCATAAACCTATTTTCTGTTTTAAACTTTTCAAAAAGGCAAAAATCAATATTCTTGACTCTGCTTTAAATATCCTGAAAATAAACAGAACTTGTCTATGTAGATGAAGAAGAAAAGCCTAATCCCAGCATGGGCGAGCCTCGCTGTTAGCCCAGCCCTGCTCCTGCGGGTATCTAGGGATTGGGGTCCGGTGGCAGAGCACGCACCCGTCACTGATCTTGAATTCATCCTCGCTCTCTTCTTCATCCAGGTTGCTATCACTGTCCAGATCGTTTAATCGCCGGCGTTTCTTCCTTCGAGCAGCAGCTGCCCTCTGCGGTCGTTTATTTTCTTTTCTTTCTTCATCCAAAATAGTAGAGATGTCTTTCCCACGATGACCTGTGATGGTGGAAATATCTTTTCCTCGGCCAACTCCTGAGTGTGGGGGAGGGGAGTTCGAGGAGAGAAAAATATGTGTTTATTAAAAGCTTCCCTTTAATTTCTAGAGACAGTCCTTACTCATGCTTAACAGTTCTTCACTTCTTTATTTTCTTCCTAAAAATATGCAGTTTTCTCATGAGTTCAGCTAGAGGTCTCATAGTTTTAGCATTCATTTATCCTATGGAAGTTTATTATATAGAGAACCTCTTGTTTTCAAAATTTTTACGTAATTCACACACCATAATATCACCCTCTTACAGTGTACAATTTAGAGGTTTTTAGTGTAGTCACAAAGTTGTGCAACCATCACCTCTAACTAACACCAGAACATTTTCGTCACCCAAAAAAGAAACCTCATACCTATGAGGAGTCACTCAAGAATCTCTTCTTGAAAGCTGTCTTTTGGACAAGGCTTTAGAAAGAGGCCAATAGAGTTTTTAAAAACTGTGTTTGCAGGACAGAAGAAGTGATAATTCAGCAGCAATTATGTAAACAAGACACATACCTCTGGAAAAGCCTTAAACAACTTACTTATTTTATTTATTTTTATTTTTTTGAGATGGAGTCTCACTCTGTCACCAGGCTGGAGTGCAGTAGTACCATCTTGGCTCACTGCAACCTCTGCCTCTGGGTTCAAGTGATTCTCCTGACTCAGCCTCCCAAACAGCTGGCTTACCAGCGCATGTGACCACGCCTGGCAAATTTTTGTATTTTTAGTAGAGAAGGGGTTTCAACATGTTGGTCAGGCTGGTCTTGAACTCCTGACCTTGTGATCCACCCACCTTGGCCTCCCAAAGTGCTGGGATCACAGGTGTGAGCCACCACACCCAGCTGCATACAACCTACTTATTAATCCTCTCCAGAGTTTTCATAATAACTAAACAGAAACCAAAATGTTCCATATTGGAGCATTCGCTAATAGTGCTTTAATAAAATTACCTTCAAGTTCTTTTTTAATGCGACTTATTAAAGACTATGAAATAAGGAAACCAATTTTTACTAAGTTAACTTAAATCTTGGTTTAAATTATTTTGGTTCTGATTATCCATAATTATTGAGACTTTGTAGTCTCAAAGACAACAGAAAAGTTTCCTCAGTTTTCTATATGGAATCAGAAGTAAATTTTTTAACCTATGGAGGATCATCAATGTTTTATATTGGGTTGTAAAACAAAACTGCTTTAAAAGTAATTAGTAAGATCTGAATCTATACACTGACATGTGTCCACAAATTATTCTGCATCTGAAACAACTAACGTCAGTCCTAATCATGATACACATTGAGAAAGAAAATAAAAAAATATGCTCACTGCCCTACTTTGGGCACCTAAATGAACTTCTTGGCAGCGTTCTATGAAGAAAAGAAAATGTCAAATACATACCTCCTCCATCAGCCTCTTTGATATCATCTTCAATAGCTTCATCAATTGCTTCATCAAACTCATCAAATCTAAAATATACACAATGATCACATTATAGCCTGTCCTGGCTTTTTATTTTTAAAGATCACCTTTAGCAGATGTCTGTTACTGCCTGATTGTTTATGTCCCCTCAAAATCCACATGTTGAAATATTAAATCTCAAGGTGATGGTATCAGGAGGTGAAGTCTTTGGCACAGCCCTCATGTATAAAATATAAAAGAAGCCAAACAGAGACCCTTTGTCCCTTCCACCATATGAAGTTACAATAAGATGGTCATCGGGCTGAGCGCGGTGGCTCAAGCCTGTAATCCCAGCACTTTGGGAGGCCGAGGCGGGTGGATCACCAGGTCAGGAGATCGAGACCATCCTGGTCAACATGGTGAAACCCCGTCTCTACTAAAAATACAAAAATTAGCTGGGCATGGTGGCGCGTGCCTGTAATCCCAGCTACTCAGGAGGCTGAGGCAGGAGAATTGCCTGAACCCAGGAGGCGGAGGTTGCGGTGAGCCGAGATCGCGCCATGGCACTTCAGCCTGGGTAACAAGAGCGAAACTCCATCTCAAAAAAAAAAAAAAGAAGATGGCCATCTATGAAGGAGTAGGCCTATTGGATCTACCCTAAAGAGTCCCCTTATCCTTTCTATGATATAAGAACACCCTAGAAGGTGCCATCTATAAACCAGAAAGCAGGCCCTCACCAGACACCATTACTTGCCAGTGCCCTGACTTTCGACTTCCTAGCTTCTTGAACTAATGAGAAATACATTTCTGTTGATTACAGGCCTTTCCGTCTATGGTTACTTTGTGAGAGCAACCAAATTGGACTGAGACAATGTCAGCAAAAATTTTTATAAAAGGCCAGATGGTAAATATTTTAGGCTTTTCAGACAATGCAGTCTCTGTTGACTTTACTCTGCTATTGTAGTGCAAAGCAGCTACAGACAATATGTATGTAAATGATACAGATGTGTTTCAATGAAACTTTATGAACACTGAAATTTGAATTATAGGTAATTTCCACAGAATATTACTTTTCTTTTGATTCTTTTTTTTCCCAAGCATTTACAGAAACCACTTTGAGGTCACACTGTATAAAAACTAGAAGTGATCTGAATTTGGCCCATAGGGCATAATTTGCCAACTCCTAATTATATAAATCACATGGCAAAGTAAGTAAAACAAAATTACATTTCCATAAATACTCTTAAGTCCTAATAATATGTCTGGGTGCAGTGGCTTACACTTGTAATCCCAGCACTTTGGGAGGCCAAGGCGGATCACTTGAGCCCAGAAGTTCAAGACCAACCTGGGCAACATGGCAAAACCCTGTCTCTATTAAAAAATACAAGAAATGAGCTTGGTATGGTGGTGCCTGCCTGTAGTCCCACCTACTTGGTGGGCTGAGGCAAGAGGACTTCTTGAGCCCAAGGGGCAGAAGATACAGTGAGCTGAGATGGCACCATTGCACTCCAGCCTTGGGGACTGAGTGAGACCCTGTCTCAAAAAAAGAAAAAAATAAAAGTCCCAATAATAAGGCTATATTATTACTGCGATTGCAAATTATATTATTACTGAAATTCATACACAAATGGTTCAAATTTTAGAACTAGGTAAAAGTGTTTCTTGAAGCTGTTAACCTTGACTTAAAGAAAAGGATCAAGACTAAAGGATTCCTAAGATTTCTTCACATATAAAACATCTTTTACTTCAAGGCTAAGTTAGCCTAAAGGATGAAATAACTTGTTTAAAACTATGCTAAAATGGTAATTACTAGCCCTGTGTGGCTATTTGTATTTAAATTCATAAAAATTTAAAATTCTGTTCCTCATTAGACATAATTCAAGTATTTAATAGTCACAAATGGCTACTGGTCACCACATTCAATATCAAAGAAATAGAACATTTCCATCACCAGAGTAAATTATATTAGTGAGGGTGGGATTACAGGCATACAATGGATTAACAATATCAAAACTAAAAGCTGGGCCTGGGTGCAGTGGCTCAGAACTCTTGAGAGGCTGAGGCAGGAGTATAACTTCAGCCCAGGAGGTTAAGGCCAGTCTGGGCTATAAGGTAAGACCCCATATCTATAAAAACAAAAAATTTTAAAAATTAGCTGGGTGTGATGGTATGTGCCTGTAGTCCTAGCACTCTGGGAAGCTGAGGCAATAGGACTACTTGTGCATAGGAGTTTGAGGTTCAAGTGAGCTGGGATCATGCCACTGCGCTCCAGCCTGGAGGACAAAGTGAGAGCCTGCCTGAGCGACAAAGTGAGACCCTGTCTCAAAAAAAGAAAAAAGACTAAAAGCTGGTGGCTGGGAGTGGCTGTATAAACCCACAGTCTCAACCACTTGGGAGGCTGAGGCAGTAGGATGGCTAGGAGTCTTGTTTAGGCAACATAGCAAGACTTCATCTCTAAAAACTAAATATCCTGCCTTCTGAATTAGAACATATAATTTCAAAGGACTTCCAAATTTCAGATGGAGAGCTCTTCTTCTACAATGTAACTTTTACTGGCTGCATAGTATCTCATCTTACAGATGTATCATATTTAGTTAAAGCAGTTTATTTCCAATTTTTCACAATTGTAATATTATGAGAGATATTCTTGTAGATATAGGGTGTATTTTTCTTAAGTTCTCAGAAAGTAAAACATAGCACATCTATTTATTAGGGTAGAAGAGCAGATACAGATAAAGCCAAATGCCAGATGCAAAGTTAACTGAAAACAGCATTTGTCCCGAGGACAGGGTACAGCTGTAAGGTGGCATAACAACCTATTTTTTTGAGTGACTACTTTCTTACTGAGAAATTTGTTTGCTAAAATCAAATACTATCAGAAACTTCAGGCATCCGAAACTGTTTCAGAAAAAATGAAATATCCCACTCTTGCTTGGACGAAGTCATCTTTAATGCAACTAAACAGCCTTGATTTAAATCCCAGATGCAGAGCTTCAGATGAAAGACTTCTGAACACAGCACTCCATGTATCTATATTCCCTTGGTCTTGGTTGCCTCATATGTGATGGTGGATTAATACAGATGATCCCTTTAAGATCTAAAATAATATATGAGTAAAATAGAAATTTGGGCTAAACTATGGGTTTCTTTTTTGTATAAAATGTTTTGTGTGATAAATTTATACTCTACCTAGTTCCAAAATGACTGACATATTACAAAACAACTCAAACATGATGTGTATTTCACACATGCTTATGTGCAATTTCCTTCCTTCCTTCCCTTTCCTTCTCTCCCTTCCCTCTTCTACTCCACCCCCGATTCTTTCTTTCAATAGAGAGAGAGTCGCTATGACATCCAGGATGGTCTTGAACTTCTGGGATGAAATGATTCTCCTGCTCCAGTCTCCCACAGTACTGGGATTTCAAGTGTAAGCCACCATGCCCAGCCAATTTATGTGCAATTTCATTTGTGAGAAATACTAGATGACTGCAGAAAACTGCCCCTAGCTGAACTGAGTTGCACAGGAATCTACAAAACACACATACCTAAGACATCTACCAGTAACATTACTTCACTATGTGTTATAAACTATAGCATTTTGCATCTGATGTTATACTTCACTGATTTCAGATAAACCTCCTTCTGCCACCACACCATAATTTACGAACTACAATTTTCTGCTTCTACAAACAAACTTCAGGTCTTTTTCTCAGTATAAAACACCATAGTTAATGTAGTACTTGTATATGTCTTACTTAATATATGTCAAATGGCACTCCCATTATTATTAGATTCCAATCTTTTCTAATGCATTACTAATCAAGTTTTTAATGTATGTCTCTAACTCCATATTTTCTATAATCCCTACGGTTTTTACTGTATAATTTTGCACAGCATGGGGATTTTTTAAAAAATACATGTTGTCGGGTGTGGTGGCCCAAGCCTGTAATCCCAGCACTTTGGGAGGCCGAGGCGGGTAGATCACGAGGTCAAGAGATCGAGACCATCCTGGTCAACATGGTGAAACCTCGTCTCTACTAAAAATACAAAAAATTAGCTGGGCATGGTGGCGCATGCCTGTAATCCCAGCTACTCAGGAGGCTGAGGCAGGAGAATTGCCTGAACCCAGGAGGCGGAGGTTGCGGTGAGCAGAGATTGCGCCATTGCACTCGAGCCTGGGTAGTAGCAAGAGTGAAACTCCGTCTCAAAAAAAAACATAAAAAATAAAAAATAAATAAAAATACATGTTATGCTGCAGCAGAACTGACTTTATATTTGCACTTTCCATCTGTGAGCTTTGACTTCATACATATAGAAGAATATTTTTTATTTTTCGAAGTATATTTCTAAAGACTAAGATGGGCACTATTTCTATATATATGGGATTTTACCCTTACTGAATTTACCATATTTATAAAGTTTTAACACTAACAATAGAGGCAAATTCCTCCATGATTGCTGATGCAAGTTTATAGATAAAAAGCAAGTTCAAAGTTCAGAGTTTTATAAAATCTGTTGGCTGGGTACAGTGGCTCACGCCTGTAATCCCAGAACTTTGGGAGGTCGAGGAGGGTGGATCACAAGGTCAGGAGTTCAAGACTAGCATGGCCAACATGGCGAAGCCCCATCTCTACTAAAAAAATTAAAAAATTAGCTGGGCATGGCGGCATGTGTCTGTAATCCCAGCCACTTGGGAGGCTGAGGCAGGAGAATTGCTTGAACCCGGGAGGTGTAGGTTGCAGTGAGCTGAGATCGTGCCACTGCACTCCAGCCTGGGCAACAGAGTGAGACACCATCTCAAAAAAAACGACTGTTTTCCATTTCCATTTATTCAAGTTAAAAAAAATGGTTTGGTGTTATCCCACATTTTTAGAAGCAGTCCAAAAAATGATCTCAAATAACTAAAATATAATTCATTTATTATTTGAATGAGACAGCATGATTTAGTGGAAAGCACACAAGACTGGAAGACAGCGTTTTAGAAGATAAGGTTTTTAGGATTAGTTACTTACAGTGACCACAGAAAAATCTCTTTCTCTGGTAACTTTGGTGTCAATAGGTAAATTAGATAATATCTACTGATTCTTTCACTAGGTACTTATGGAGCATTAACTATCTGTCAGCACTACAGTAGGTATAGGGGACACAAGTCCATGTAAAATAGACATGGTCCTTACCTTCATGCTAACAGTCTAGTGAGGAAGAAAAATGTTAATAAATCATTACAACCCCACTCATTACAAGTGTAAGAGCTTTCAGGGAAAAGAGCTGGTTGCTATGAAGGGATCTAATGGGGATTTGACAAGGTAAAACCAAAAAGGAAATTACAAGTAAACAGCATGTGCAAAGGGACTAAAGGTGATACAGCAAATGCAGGGGGTGTAAGGGAGAATGTGCTAAGACAGAGTTAGAGAGGGAAGTAGAGATGAGACTATGCAGTGCCTTACTGGCTTTGTTAAAATTATCAATCCTTGGCTGGGTGTTGTGGCCCACGCCTGTAATCCCAACAGGATGGTATATAATCAAGACTATCCTGGCCAACATAGTGAAATCCCGTCTCTACTAAAAATACAAAAATTAGCTGGGCATAGTGGTGCGTGCCTGTAGTCCCAGCTACTCAGGAGGCTGAGGCAGGAGAACTGCTTGAACCTGGGAGGTGGAGGTTGCAGTGAGCGAGATCGCACCACTACACTCCAGCGTGGCAACAAGAGCGAGACTCTGTCTCTAAAAAAAAAAAAAGAAAAAAAAAATCTATGACTGAAGATGGAAGGTAAAAAGTACATATACAATTGCTAATAACTGTCATGATAGAAAAAGTATACACTTCTGGATCATGCTGAATAACTGGAAAACAAATCTTCTTTCACTATGGACATTTCTTTTTTTTTGAGATGAAGTCTTGCTGTGTTGCCCAGGCTGGAATGCAGTGGTGCAATCTTGGCTCACTGCAGCCTCCACCACCCGGGTTCAAGCGATTCTCCTGCCTCAGCCTCCCAAGTAGCTGGGACTACAGGTGCGAGCCACCACACCTGGCTAATTTTTTGCATTTTAGTAGAGATGGGGTTTCACTGTGTTAGCCAGGATGGTCTCGATCTCCTGACCTCATGATCCGCCCGCCTTGGCCTCCAAAAGTGCTGGGATTACAGGCGTGAGCCATTGCACCCTGTGCACTGTAAACATTTCTATACATTTCATACCTGTAACTTATACATTTTCTTGTTCTTGTTGACCTCCTTTCAAGCAAGTTTACTTTGGATTTTTTTGAATCTTTTTTCTTTTCTTCTTGATCTTCAGAAAAGTCTGGCTCCTTAAAAAATATGATAATAAGCATATAGGTTATTACTTATGACAGAATCAAGTTCCTTGGGATAACTAGTTTTGTAATCTCCAACTAGGTCACACATGTGAAAGGTTTGAAAAAGTTTGAGATGATCCCTTCCAAAAGTGAATAAACATGGCAACACGAAGTATGTAGATTAAAAAGAATGCTGATGATTAAAAGATAAAATCCTTCTATATTAAAATTCTTATGCTTTTTTGAGTTTACAATTAGTACTTGTTTTAAAAGAGTCATGATGAAGTTTTCCCATTTTAACAAATAATTATATTTGTAACAGAAAATGTTGAACGGATATGCTGTATGAATAAAATGAAAGATTTAGAAGAAAGGGGTTGATACTCAAGGAAGTAACTTGAAAGGCCTTTTAAGCTTGTGATTTAATTAAGCCAGATGAAATGACCAATATGTTTTATTACAAATTACAAAAATTTACAAATTATGTAAATTACAAGACCACGTTACATGTATTTTCACTCATGATATATCTACTTCTTATAAATTAGACTAATAAATGCAAAACAAAGGTAATCCTTCATAGAAACCAAACTGTGATGAAGAATACAAACTGAAGTTTTCAACAATTCCCAAAATAAAAAATTAAAAATCAAATCTCCCTGAACCATTCTTTAGTCATTTTACATAAATAGCATGCAAAACAAGCTAATAACACATTTTAAATTTTAGAGTAAAAACAGGGAACGTACTCCAAAGGTAAAAGCTGTAAGTTTAGTTTAGATGTGATATCACATTTTGGAGTTAGCTGCATACCTAAAATTTCAATCATGAGGGATTATGGATGATTTCTCAAAGGTCTTAAATTTCCATTTTTAACATTTGTATATATTTAAAACCACTGTTCAGGTGCAGTGGCTCACACCTGTAATTCCAGCACTTTGGGAGACTGAGGTGTGATCACCCGAGGTCAGGAGTTCAAGACCAGCCTGGCCAAAGTGGTGAAACCCCATCTCTAGTAAAAATACAAAAATTAGCTGAATGTTTTGTGGTGGCAGGCACCTGTAATCCCAGCTACTCAGGAGGCTGAGGCAGGAGAATTGCTTGAACCTAGGAGACGGAGGTTGCAGTGAGCCGAAATTGTGCCACTGCACTCTAGTCCAGGTGACAAGAGTGAAACTCCGTCTCAAAAAAAATAAAACCATAATATTATATAAGGTGGGTTAAATTTTAGCGCAATCAGGACAATCTCCCATTTAAAAACATTATAAATCAGAAACTTACTTGTGGAGGAATGATGTTTTCAATACTGATACCGACATACACCAAGCGTTCTTTCCTTTAGATGAAAAGCAAACAAAAAAACATGAGATTTGCTGAAAATAAAATTGTCATGTAAACATCACGAATCACACAATGTTAAAATTACAATTTCATGTTAATAGCAGTGGTTAAGCCACAGAAGTGTTTAACTTTCTTTCTTTTTTTCTTTCTTTCTTTCTTTACAAGGTCTCACTCTCTTGCACACGCTGGAGTGCAGTGGTGCAATCTCAGCTCACTGCAACCTCTGCCTCCCAGGTTCAAGTGATTCTCCTGCCTCAGCCTTGTGAGTAGCTGGGATTACAGGTATGTGTCACCATACCCAGCTAATTTTTTTTTTTTGAGACGGAGTTTTGCTCTTGTTGCCCAAGCTGGAGTGCAATGGCGCGATCTCGGCTCACTGCAACCTCCGCCTCCTGGGTTCAAGCAATTCTCCTGCCTCAACCCTCCTGAGTAGCTGGGACTACAGGCACGCACCACCATGCCCAGCTAAGTTTTTGTATTTTTAGTAGAGATGGGGTTTCACCATGTTGACCAGGATGGTCTCGATCTCTTGACCTCGTGATCCACCTGCCTCGGCCTCCCAAAGTGCTGGGATTATAGGCGTGAGACACCGCGCCCAGCCCAGCTAATTTTTGTATATTTAGTAGAGATGGGGTTTTGCCATGTTGGCCAGGCTGGTCTCAAATTCCTGGCCTCAAGTGATCCACCCACCTTGGCCTCTCAAAGTGCTGGGATTATAGACATGAGTACTGTTCTTGGCCCATGTTAGCTATTAACTATAAAACTTTAATACTATTAGTATGTGTGGGGAGCTCAAGATTTCCTAGGGTTAAGATAACACTATCTTTCAAAAATGACTTACACTGGTGAAATAAAACCTGTCACTGAAATACACAAGCAACTTCATTAGGAGTCATGCTGCAACAAGTTAATGATAAGATGAGATGAAAAGCCAGTTCTGATTAGACAAATTAGATCTTTGTTATGCTGGAAAAAGTTTTCAGTAATATTTTGCATGTATGTATAAACAATTATAATCTCATGGTAATAAATATTACCATAAAAATTATGCAAACAAAACCTTATCAAGGTCCCAGTGAATGACATTGAGACCATTCATTCCTTGCTGATGAAAGAAAAGAAAGCAATGTAGACACATGGCCTGTGCTCTAGAAGGCTACAACTGAAGCTAACTAGAGCCAGGAAATGAAGACTGGAGCCAATGACATCTCCATAGTTTGAAAATTTCCAAGAAACAAACTTATGTTGATTTTAATTAAATTATATATTTAAAAACACCAGGATGGCTGCGTGTGGTGGCTCACGCCTGTAATCCAAGGTAGGAGGATCACTTGATGCCAGGAATTCAAGACCAGCCTGGGCAACACAGCGAGACGCCTGTCTCTATATGAAATTAAAAAAAAAAAAATGGCCAGGTATGGTAGTGGCACATGCCTATTGTCCCAGCTACTCAGAAGGCGGAGATGGGAAGATTAGTTGAACTCATGAGTCTGAGGTTGCAGTGAGCTTTGATTATGACACTGAACTCCAGCCTGTGCATCAAGAGTGAGACCCTGCCTCAAAACAAATAAAGGAATGAATGAATGAATAAATAAATTAATTAATTAAATAAAGGAGGTGTTTTCCCTGGTTCTTCCAAAGTTAATCCAATTCAACAAGGACAGCTGAGCTCTCACATGCCTCTGTGTATTCAATTGAACTGAACTGAAATAGTAACATTTTGTCTCCCCCTGCTTATAATGTTCCTTATATAAGGGTATTAATGTATCTGGCTGGCTAGGTCCTTTAGAGTGCAGTCTTTAGTGCCCTGCTAACAAGAATACTCATGGTCTTTATAGAGATAGATTGTGATGCTATTAAAACTGGTATGATTAAAAATCATTCAGTGGACTTCTAAACCATCAACTTTCACAGAGCATCACACCATCAGGTCTGCAGATAGTTGCTGGCTAGCCACTAAATACTCACTGAAATGTACATCCATTTCTCTTTTCAACAAGACTGCAAAGATTTCTACAATAAAGACCGCATTATATACTTCCTCATTTGATTACACTGCCTGGCATAAAGTAGGTACCAAATAAATGTTGCCTGAATGTTGAATGAATGCATAAACAAGAGTGGCTCTTGCATTATGACCTACCAGAGAGTAAAATGTTCTTGTTATATGACATAGGGAGTAAGTACGGCTCTAAGCTGCTGGGATGAATGCTAAAGAAGTTATTTCACAGATTTAAAAAAATGAATATAAGGGCTCACTTTAGAAAACTGAATGACAAGGGCTAGAATTTAGTTAATATTTATTTTAGAAACACACATATTTTGCTGTTTAGCGCTCCTAAGATTCATATATATACGTGTGTGGGGGTATACATGCACACACACACAATGTATTCCAGGAACTATAAACAACAAAAGCTTTGTTAACCAGATTTTTTTTTGGTCTTTTTTCCTTTTTGTGGAGAATGGGGTCTCACTATATTGCCCAGGCAGGTCTCGAACTCCTGGGCTCAAGCTATCCTCCTGCCTCTAGCCTCCCTAAGAGCTGGGATTACAGGTGTGAGCCACAGCGCCCGGCTAACCAGATTATTACGGAGAATTAGCAAACACCAACAACCATCGGTTAACTGGCTCGGTCTAGACTGGTCTTCCTGTAATAGTAACTTTCCTCTCCCTTTTAATACACAATCTGAGAATGTAGTATGTGATATAAAGTCATAATTGCAGATGTCCTCTTAAAGGATGACATTTAAAGCCAGGTGTGGTAGCTCATGCCTGTAAACCCATGATTTTGGGAGGCCAAGGTGGGTGGATCACTTAGGCCAGGAGTTCAAGACCAGCCTGGACAACATGGCGAAACCCCATCACTACTAAAAAATACAAAAATTACCTGGGCGTGGTGACACATGCCTGTGGACCAAGCTACTTAGGAGGCTGAGGCGGGAGGATCGCTTGAAGCTGGGAGGCAGTGGTTGCAGTGATCATGCCACTGCATTCCAGCCTAGGCGACAGAGCAACACTCTGTCTTCAAAAAATAAAAAGGACATTTAAATAAAGAGGACTACCTAGAGTAGGTGAAAAAGCAAAGGAATTAATAAATTGGAGATAGTAATATAGACAAATATTGTGGCATACTTTAAAACATAAATTTCTAAAAGTCAAAATATTTCTTAATTGCAGTGGCATATCCTATATGAGGCCACTGTCAAAACTTTTTCACCAGCTTTTTCCACATATAAATGAATACGAATCCAAGGCTTCCAAAGAGCAAGCAGATAAGAAATTCTTAATGGTTTACATTCTTGGCTTTTAGAAATAATATATTCTCAGCCGAGCAGAATGGCTCATGACTGTAATCCCAGCACTTTGGGAGGCCGAGGAAGGTGGATCACTTGAGGTCAGGAGTTCAAGACTAGTCTGGCCAACATGGTAAAACCCCATCTCTACTAAAAATACAAAAATTAGCTGGGAGTCATGGCGTGTGCCTGTAATCCCAGCTACTCTAGAGGATCAGGCAGGAGAATCGCTTGAACCTGGGAGGCAGAAGCTGCAGTGAGTCGAGAATGCACCTGGGTGACAGAGCGAGACTCTGTCTCAAAACAAAAAAACAAAAACCAAACAAAAAAACCCATTCTCTTCCTTAGTGGGTGAGCCTATTAACCACCTACATTTGTGAGACATCAGCTTCAGGACATGGGAAAACCACTAATTTCTGAAAAGGATAAGCAGATTTGAGTAAGATGGAGGCAAAGGAAAAAATCTAGTTTTTATTTGTGATTTAATTTAAATATCTCTAGTTACATCTTTTCCACTGCCAAAAATAAAAACAAGAGAAACAGCACATCAAAATAGCCCTAGTAATTTCATAGAGGATCATTCTTTATTTTTAAAAATATTCTTGGAAGATATTCCAAATATCTGAAACACAAATAGTTTAGAGAAATAACCCAGGGTTTAGCTGGGAGTGGTGGTAGCCACCTGTAATCCCTGCTACTTTGGAGGTTGGGGCAGGATGATCTCTTGAGCCCAGGAGTTCCAAGACTAGCCTGGGCAACACAGAGAGACCCTATCTTCAAAAAAAAAGAAAGAAATAAATAACCTAGGGTTTCTCATTTTCAAAGTACTTTTCTGTCCTAGTTGATCTGAGATTAACTTGCCTTTAAACTAACTAGCATTCATTACAAGCCAGAAAGCTCAAACTGGGTAGTAAAAAAACCAAAACCTTTAGGTTCTAGAGGCTGAATCCATTTTTTTTTTTTTTTTTTTGAGATGGAGTTTCGCCCTTGTTACCCAGGCTGGAGTGCAATGGCGCGATCTCGGCTCACTGCAACCTCCGCCTCCTGGGCTCAGGCAATTCTCCTGCCTCAGCCTCCTGAGTAGCTGCGATTACAGGCACGTGCCACCATGCCCAGATAATTTTTTGCACTTTTAGTAGAGACGGGGTTTCACCATGTTGACCAGGATGGTCTTGATCTCTCGACCTCATGATCCACCCGCCTCAGCCTCCCAAAGTGCTGGGATTACAGGCTTGAGCCACCGCACCTGGCTGAATCCATTTTTAAGGTTCACCTTTGCACAAGGTAAAGTGAGTGGATCATGGGACAAGCTGATTGCCTTAAGGCAAGCTAAATTTGGAGGGGGAGACTATGAGTCAGAGAACATAAGTTGAAGTAGGAAATGAAGGTAAAATCAGGAGACAATGTTTAGATTTCCTCAATCATACTAGTGTATAAATGAGTATCAAGTCCCACAGATGAATCCTCTGAAAATTCTCTCCAGCACCTCCATCTTATTATTACAATGCTAGCCCTAATTTAAGTCTTACAGACTCATAGGTTTGCTACTCCAACAGTCCCAACTCTCATTCATTCAACTTACTGTTGCATTTTTTTTTTCTGAAATAAAGATATACTTACATATGTCTCCTTTGATGAATGCCCCCTTTCTATAGAGAATAAGTCAAATTCTACAGGCAGGAAAGCTATTTGCAATTTGGCCTTACTCAGCTTTTACAAAAATCTATCTCCTACCATTCATCTACTATCACTTTTACACTTTACCTTTGCTCATTCATGTTTGTGCTCTTTGTCTGAAATATGTTGATATTGATATAACCTCATTTTATCTTCCAAGGTCTCCCGTGATAACCCCAAATCCTTTGAGAACTAAAATGCTCCTCCACCATGTTCTTGTATTGCTTTTAATATACCTCCACTTTTCTATTATATTATTGGTTCATATGTCTGCATTATATTATGGGTTCCTATGTCTGTATTCTCTAACAGAAGGTGAGTTCCATGTAAACAAGAGCTTTCTCTTTGATCTTTCCTCTTCAGATTGGTACACAGTAGGTGAAAATGAATGTTCAGAAATAGATTAATTAAAGAAGGTGCAAATAAACATATTGATTCTGAATCCCCTTTTAAAGATTAGGCTCAAGTTCAGTCTTAAGAACTTCATCTAAGAAGCCGTCTCCAATTGCTTCAGACCACCATTGCAATGGTGTATTGAAAAGGGGGACATCTCTTACAGGTATAGTAGGACAAAATTCAGCAGTTAATACTCTTTATTTCACCAGTGTTAACTCTGTTCACTCAAGGAGATGACAGGGCAAAGTAAATTATAGACCAGTTCTTACAGTTTTCTTGTATTTTCTACAATATTTAGTTAGGTGCATACCCTTCACAATACTTGGGCCAATATTTATTCAGAGAAGGTTCTGACAAATATCATTTATTTATTTATTTATTTATTTATTTATTTATTTAGAGACAGTGTCTCACACTTGGGCCAATATTTACTCAGAGAAGGTTCTGACAAATACTTATTTATTTAGAGGCAGAATCTCACTCTTGCCCAGGCTGCAGTGTAGGGGCATGATCGTGGCTTACTGCAACGAATCTCCTGCCTCAGCCTCCAAGGAGCTGGTACTATAGGCATGTGCCACCACGTCGAGCTAATTTTTGTATTTTTAGTAGGAATAGGGTTTCAGCATGTTGGCCAAGCTGGTCTTGAACTCCTGACCTCAGGTGATCCGCCCGCCTCGGCCCCCCAAAGTGCTGGGATTACAGCAGTGAGCCACCATGCCCAGCTAGTTCCAATACTTTAGATTGAAAGCTGGTGAACATTTCCTATAAAAGGAAAGATAATAAGCATACAAGCTAAGCAGGTCACAAGGTCTCTGTTGCAACTACTCAATGCTGCTGTCGTAGGGCAAAAGCAGCCACAGAGAATATATAAACACATTCCCAAGCAAACCATTAACAAATATATCACATATGACATAACAAATATGTCATATTCCCAAGCAAAACATTAACAAATATGTCAAAATACCTTCGTTCAGCACGCTCTTTCTTCTTTAAGGCAACATCCAAATCCTGCAACTGTTCCTCTAATTTCTCACAGAGCAGTTTCTGAAGAAGCGAAATAGGTAAGGGTCATTTTAAACAACTTTTAGCAATCTTTTATTACATACATGTTAACTTCATGGGTAATGTATTCTGAGCGCTGGTAAGGGAACATACACTAAATGAACAATGTAGCTTTTCTTGTGTTGAATTAAATAAAGAGGTACCTCAGCATCCACTGAACAGAAGATGAGCATAGTGCTTTTGAAATAAAGCACATGTTAAAGAAACATACAGCTTTGCCAAAAGAAACGCATTCTGTGCCTATCCTACTGGCAATAGTCAATGTTTAAAATAGCATTTGGTTCGACATATGCATGTAACAGTGATTATAATTTTTAAAAAAGATCCCGAGACATTTTTAAGGGAGAAGGCTATATGTATGATAAAACAATGAGGCCAATAACTATTTTTTTGAAAAAGAGAAAGGGCTGGTTTGAGTACAGTGGTATTTACAACTAATTAATTTTTTTTTGTTCTTTCTCCACTGCCACTGCTTCACTTGACTATCCTTTAAAAAAAAAAAAAAAAAAAGGAGAGACTGGAAAAAAAACACAAACAATGCTATATGGTTATTGGGTCAAAACAGACCTGAAAAATGTAATTGATAAAGCTGTGCTAAGCCACAGAAGTCCATTTCACTGAAAAATGCATAAAGTTTATCATTTTATTTTATTTTATTTTTTGAGAGAGAGTCTCACTCTGTCACCCAGGCTGGAGTGCAGTGGCACAATCTTGGCTCACTGCAACATTTGTCTACCAGGTTCAAGCGATTCTTGTGCCTCAGCCTCCTAAGTAGTGGGGATTACAGGCGTGTGCCACCACGCCTGTCCAATTTTTGTACTTTTAGTAGAGATGAGGTTTCATCATGTTGGCCAGGCTGGTCTTGTATTCTTGGCCTCAAACAATCTGCCTGCCTTGGCTTCCCAAAGTGCTGGGATTATAGGCATGAGTCACCACATCTGGCTAAGCCTTCATCATTTTAGAAAAATAATTATTACTAGTTTTAAATTTTTTAGAGATAGGGTCTTGCTATGCTGCCCAGGCTGGTCTCTAACTCACAGCCCCAAGTGATCCTCCTGCCTCAGCCTCCAAGGAGCTAGGACTACAAGTGGGTGCCACCATGCCTGGCTTAATCCATCTCTTTCTCTTCTTTTTGAGACAGAGTCTTGCTCTGTTGCCAGGCTGGAGTGCAGTGGCATGATCTCAGCTTACTGCAATCTACCTCTCAGGTTCAGGCGATTCTCCTGCCTCAGTCTACAGAAATGTGCCACCACACCCAGCTAATTTTTGTATTTTTGGTAGAGATGGGGTTTCCCCATGTTGGCTTAGACAGTCTTGATGTCTTGACTTTGTGATCTGCCTGCCACGGCCTCCCAGAGTGCTGGGATTACAGGTGCCACTGCACAGGGCCTAATCCATCTTTTTCTTTTTTTTTCTGAGATGGAGTCTTGAACTGTTGCCCAGGCTGGAGTGCAGTGGGATGATCTTGGCTCACTGCAACTGCTTACTCCTAGGTTCAAGAGATTCTCCTGCCTCAGCCTCCCGAATAGCTGGGATTACAGGTGCCCACAACCATGCCTGGCAATTTTTTTTATTTTTGTTTTTGTATTCTTAGTAAAGATGAGGTTTCACTGTGTTGGGGAGTCTACATTCAAATGCCTGACATCATGATCCACCTGTTGTGGCCTCCCAAAGTGCTGGGATTACAGGCATGAGCCACCGTGCCCAGCCATTTTTTTGGCAAATGAAAGTAAGTTTGTGAGAGAAAAGTACCCAATGAGCACAGTAGCACAAAAATAGCCTGATTCTTCAGCTTTAAAAAGAAAATTGCCTGAATTAAGATAGAAGAGAAAGAGAATCTATGTTTCTCCTAACCCTGGTAACACCATCTGTAAAACTACTGAAAAAAAGGAAGTAGGTATAAACCAAAAAAGAGGATGAAACGAAGTGATACATGGGAAGAAACTTATATCCTCCTTTCTACATATCTACACTTGGTACTTTTTGTGCTTAAATTGAATTTGAGAAAAAAAATCATCCATAATTTTACAAAACTTAAGAGGGCTTCTGAAAATTGCTTTGGAAAAAAGAAACAAAAAAGGAAAACTTAAAAGCTATTAATAAAAGGTAGAAATTCAAACAGAGGGTAAATAATATTTACACATTGCTCTGAAGATTAAAAATATTCATTCAGTAGCTATTAAACAGTTATAATTAATTTGAACATAAACTCAAAGACTAGAAAAACAGAAGTGGGCTAGATCATACATGTTGGCAAGGGGGGCAGAACCATTCTCCATCCGGGATGATCATCAGAGGAGGGCGAAGGCAGGCAGTGTGGTATCCACTATCGCAAGAGTCACACAGAAGAATCTGAAATAAATCACACTGACGTCAACCTAACTATGACTAAAATTCAATTACTCTTAGGTTAGAGACATTTCAATATTTCTTAGTACTATACTTCAAAGCACTCTATTTGCATAAAGGTAATAAATAAAAAAGCTCTGATAATTAGGGAATCTGACATGATAATATTTATTTATTTATTTATTTATTTATAAGACAGAATCTCACTCTGTTGCCCAGGCTGGAGTGCAATGGCATGATCTTGGCTTACTGCAACCTCTGTCTCCCGAGTTCAAGCGATTCTCCTACCTCAGTCTCCTGAGTAGCTGGAACTACAGGCGCCTGCCACCATGCCCGGCTCATTTTTGTATTTTTAGTAGAGATGGGGTTTCATCATGTTGGCCAGGATGGTCTCGATCTCCTGATCCACCCCTCTTGGCCTCCCAAAGTTCTAAAATTACAGGCATGAGACACTGTGCCTGACCCATGCCAATTTTTAAAGAAACCTAAAAAAAGGTTAAGCTACAAAATTTAGTTAAAAATAACAAGTCCTTTCTGACCTAGAGTTAGAATCCTTTTTCATTCAGTGTATAGGCACAAAGGCTATGACAACATATTCTTTATAACAAACTTTTAAAGCTCAAGTATGAAAGACTACCCTACCACACACAGAATTCTTTTTTTTTTTTGAGGCGGAGTTTCGCTCGTTACCCAGGTTGGAGTTACCTCGGCTCACCGCAACCTCTGCCTCCCGGGTTCAGGCAATTCTCCTGCCTCAGCCTCCTGAGTAGCTGGGACTACAGGCATGCACCACCATGCCCAGCTAATTTTTTGTATTTTTAGTAGAGACAGGGTTTCACCATATTGACCAGGATGGTCTCGATCTTTTGACCTCGTGATCCACCTGCCTCGGCCTCCCAAAGTGCTGGGATTACAGGTGTGAGCCACCGCGCCCGGCCTCATAATTCTTTTTTTTTTCTTCTGGTGCACTGTTCCTGGAAGTACTGCAATACCAGGTCGATGCGTGGAGTGGATGGAGCAAGCTCCTATTCCATCTCCCTGCTCCAAAAATCCATTTAATATATTGTCCTCGGATAGAGGACGTATCAGATATTAAACTGATAAGAACAGATACTACACTTGATCTTAGCCAAAAGGCCGAGAAGCGATTTTTTTTTAAGTTTATTTTTATTTATTTATTTATTTAAAGATGGGGTTTCACCATATTGGTCAGGCTGGTCTCGTACTCCCGGCCTCAGGTGATCCACCCACCTCGGCCTCCCAAAGTGTTGGGATTACAGGCGTGAGCCACTGTGCCAGGCTGCAGAATTCTTAAAACACAAAAAAATTTCCATTTTAAATAGCATTTCAATTACTTGCCTGTAAGAAACACTCATGGTTCTTTTTATGATGTAAATTCAAATAAGGAAGAGACTGAGGTATAGAAAAGGCATACAACTACATTCAGAACCATCATCATGTAATACAAAGGTTATTAACATCAATTAGTCTTATAGTTGTTTTAACAGTATTTGAGTTAAATAAGAGAACCAAGGTCTAAAACTTAACATAGTATACTCATTAATGTTTTACTTAAAACTTTTTATTTTTAAATAATTTTAGATTTACAGAAGAGTCGCAAAGATGGTACAAAGTTCTCATATACCCTTCACCCAATTTTTAACACTGTTATATAACCATGGTACATTGATCAAAACTAAGAAATTAACATCAATACTATAAACAATAGGCTATTGAGATTTCACAAGTTTTTCCACAAATGTCCTTTTGCTGATTCTGAATCTTGGATATCCCATTGCATTCAGTTATGTCTTGTTAGTATCCCCCACTATGTAATCATTTCTTGGTCTGTCTTTGTTTTGACCGACAGTTTGAAGAGTACTATACTAGTCAGATATTTTTGGCAGACTGCCCTGAAATTTGAGTTTGTCTGATGCTTTCTCATGACTAAACTGGGGTTCTGGGTTTTGGAGAAGAATCCTACAGAGGGGAAGTGCCCTGCTCACTGCATCATATCAGGGGATATGTGTTATCAATATGACTTACCACTGCTGGTATTAACTTTGGTCACTTGGTTAAAGTAGTATCTGTTGGTTTTATCCACTGTTAAGGTCACTACTTGTCACCTTCCATACTCTATTCTCATGATAAGTGCAGCCTACACTCAAGGGTAGGGGAATTAAGTTTTCTACAAGTATGAGTATAAAATAATTTATGGATATAAATTAAAATCACTATAGTAGTTAATAAATTAATAAATACCTTGAGGGGGAGATACACTGAAGCTATGCCAAAATCTTCTCTCTCCCCTTAAAGTTATGCTCACTAGTGTTAGCGTCCACTATGGATTTTGCTTGCAACGATTATTACTGTGGTATTCTGATGGTGATTTTCTATCTCCCATATGCCTTCTATATAAGTTATTAGGAATTACTCTGTAAGAAAAATAAGTCCCTTCTTCCCCACATTTGTTTATTTAATTATTTATATCAATATGAACTAATGAATATTTATTTTTTTCTTTGGGTTACAATCCAAAGCTATCATTATTTAATTTGTTGTTGGAACTGTTCCAGTCATGGACACAATGGAAGCTCTTTCAAGTCCTTAGGACTTGCCTTAAGTACTTCCTTACTTTCTGGCACTATAGTAAGCTTCGGGAATGTCTTGTATTTTCCCGGCTCAAGCCTTAGAACCAACCATTTCTTCAAGAAGCCCTAGCTGCTTTACTGGATAATGGTACTTAGAAACCAAGGTCTGGATGCTCTAGAAGCTCATTGCTAATGGCAACTACTTTTAATCTTTCTTAGAGAACAGTTAAGATGTATACATATGTATATGTAGACACATATATCTTCCTGTGCCTCTATTAAAATACACATGGAGTTTATACTATTATCTCCAGTTCTAATCTAACATCATAGGGTTCATCATGGCTCCATTATCTATGTTTTATTTATTTGCTCAACCTAGTATAGAAAGTTTCTTCAGTCCTAACCCATATCAGGGGGTGGGAGGAAGCACACCATTACAATGCATCACCACTTACTCCAATACCCAGGATTCGGTACTTAGTTACCTTAGTATTATACTTCAGGTATACAGTTGATTAACATGGTTTCTATAAAACGTAACCTGACTTTCAAATAACAAAATTACAGGTAAACTTTTAGAATTTATTTCTAAAGTGAAGATTGTTTCTACTCTACAGTAAATGTAAAGTGCCACTAAATAAATACTACCATGTAAGATTTCCAAACCTCAGGTAATGATCCATTTATTTAGACTAAAACATCTGGAAAATCTCTTAGAGTTCTATATTCATTTATACATTTATTGCTTTTCTGCTATTAAAGATCAATTAAGACGAAGACTATGCCTTTCTAGCTCAGCATCATATTCTTACAACTTAACATATAATAGCTGCTTGATATTTTGACTTGAGGATTATCCTTAAGCACTCGGCATAAGAAATCCACATTTGGGATCTTCAGTTTCCAGTGTCATTCACAATATAATTTCTGCTCACTCCATTTTATTTCTCATTTCTTTTTTTTTTTTTTCTTAGATGGAGTCTCGCTCTGTTGCCCAGGCTGGAGTGCAGTGGTGCAATCTGAGCTCATTGCAACCTCCACCTCCTGGGTTCAAGCGATTCTCCTGCTCCAGCCTCCCAAGTAGCTGGGACTACAGGCATGCCACCAGACCCAACTAATTTTTGTATTTTTAGTAGAGACAGGGTTTCACCATATTGGCCAGGCTGGTCTCAAACTCCTGACCTCGTGATCTGCCTGCTTCAGCCTCCCAAAGTGTTGGGATTACAGTATGAGCCATGGCGCCCTGCCTTTATTTCTCACTTCTTCACATCAGTTCATTACAGCAGCTATTGTTGCCTTAGGTAAAATGTACTCTTTTAGTTTAAAGGGACACTAGAAAATGGTAAGGAGAGAACACAGTGTTGCTTTTTGTCTTGATTTAGAAGGCAGAAAAGATTACTATCTCAAATGTCCTCTTGGCCTTTCTCTGTATAAAAATATTGACTTCACTTTCATAGCCTTGATGATCGTAAAATGCTTAGAGGGATCTTCTCAGCATAATTTCAACATCAATTCTTCTTAGAGCTCAAGTCATTCTCTGGTTCTTTCACATGAGCCCTTAAAAACTACTGGATTATGAGAAACTTCACTGATATTACATTTAGTTTCCAGATATGAAACTAAATGTAAGAAAGAGAAGTGTAAGTAAACCAGAATTAACTTTAACCCAGCACATAATATGTATCAGAAACTGTGCTAGGCAACTTTACATGAGCTGTTAAAAACACCCCTTAGAAGTATGTGGTGTGAGTCCCATCTTATAACAAAGAAATCAAAAAATAGAGAAGATAGCTCCAGATAAGTCATATCCTGATAAGTAGGATCTGAATTCATGCTGTCTGGCCCTATGCTTTTCCTATTGCATCATAATGCTTTCCAGGAAAAAAGAGCCTGGAGAACCACTTGTTATGAATTTTCCAAACTTTAGAGAATCTCAAATGTTTCTGGTCCACATGACTCTACTGAGGTAGAAACATCTTTCTTTATATTTTCTTCTACTTAATAGCTGGAGCCTTCCTTTAAAGTAAAATCTATTCAAAAAAACAGCACAGGTACATGCATTAGGTATAACAAGACTATTTCCTCAACAGACTCACTTACAAACCACAAATGATAGACAAATATTATAGATTAGAAAATCATTCTCCTGATTCAGGCAACTTTAGAAGGACTTAATTCCTGGGGAAGAAAGCTCCATATAAATGTAGTATTATTCTTCTTGGAATATATCTGGTCTATAATTTATTCTCTTAAAAATGAAAAAAAAAATTTTTTTGGGAGGCCAAGGCAGGTGGATCGAGACCATCCTGGTCAACATGGTGAAACCCCGTCTCTACTAAAAAAAAAAATACAAAAAAATTAGCTGGGCATGGTGGCGCGAGCCTGTAATCCCAGCTACTCAGGAGGCTGAGGCAGGAGAATCGCCTGAACCCAGGAGGTGGAGGTTGCGGTGAGCCGAGATCACGCCATTGCACTCCAGCCTGGGTAACAAGAGCGAAACTCCGTCTCAAAAAAAAAAAAAAAAAAAGGATTAAAAAAAATTTTTTAAGTTAAAAAAATTTTAGTGGGTATATAGTAGGTGTATATATTTATAGAGTACCTGTGATGTTTTAATAGAGGCATATAATGTGAAATAATCACATAGGGGTAACTAGGGTATCCATCACCTCAAGTATTTACCATCTGTTTTAGAAACATTCCAATGCCGCTCTTTTGCCATTAAACAATTTAAATCCCGGCCGGGCGCAGTGGCTCAAGCCTGTAATCCCAGCACTTTGGGAGGCCGAGGCGGGTGGATCACAAGGTCAAGAGATCGAGACCATCCCGGTCAACATGGTGAAACCCCGTCTCTACTAAAAATACTAAAAATTAGCTGGGTATGGTGGCGCGTGCCTGTAGTCCCAGCTACTCAGGAGGCTGAGGCAGGAGAATTGCTTGAACCCAGGAGACGGAGGTTGCGGTGAGCTGGAGATCGCGCCATTGCACTCCAGCCTGGGTAACAAGAGCAAAACTCCGTCTCAAAAAAAAAAAAAAAAAATTTAAATCCCTACTACGTTACAATTTGACTTATATGTTTTTACATGAAGGCAGTAAGGCCTTCATGCCTAATTTACTTAAGGCTGGCACTTCAAATATGTCATTATAAAGTTACTTATGCTGCCCTGGCTGCATTTTGAACTCCTGGGTCAAATCCTCCTACCTCCTACCTCAGCCACCAGAGTAGCTAGAACTACTCCCTGGCATGTGCCCACCATGCCAGGCAGAAATACCATTATAAAGGAATTTAAAAGGAAAGAAGAAAAAACCTAAAAAGAACACACTAAAAATACTTGAATACATTCATCAACTTGTGAGAAGAGATTGAGGCGTATTGTTTTTATGTAGAGGAAATATTAATATATAAGCCAGGTAGAATGAAAGCAAGATCTTGATCATTGGCCTTCCTAGAATTAGATTATATGAGAAACAGAAATAGAAATTACTCTGTAGCATACAAGCTATCATTAAGAAATTCAGATCATGATAAAACCCCGAAGAGTTAGGCTGCTCCGGGCAACCTCAGCGTGTCTATAATACAAGTATTGTTCATTTACATCAGGTACATACTAGCTCAGGATGATTTGGAAGGCCACATTTTTTGCACGGTTCATCATCATCTGCTAGGATGGCTTCTTCACTTTCCTTTTCTTCTTCCTCTTCTGAAGCTGCAGATGATTTTTCACTGTCGGATCCTTCACTTTCATCATTGCTTGAATATTTCCATCTGCCACGTGTCCGAGAACCAGTCCATCGAACTTTGCCTTTGGGTTTTACCTTGTATAAAATAAAAAATTGGAATAATTTGATATAATGTCTTTTAAAAATTTCCTTATTACATGTCCATTGTATAATATTCAGCCAATATACCAAAAAAAGGGGAGAAAATTATTAAAGTCTCATCACCAGACACAGCTATGATAAAATTTTGGTGTATACTTCGACTACTTTTTCTACATTTTTGGTTTTTTTTCCTCCTTAAAATTGAATCATAATAAACATTCTGTCTTATATTTTTCCTAGTCATATTCTCCTAATAGTACCATAAATGCCATTACATAACCATATTGATCTAATCCTCTACTAGACATTTAGGTAGTTGTTTCCCATGTTTTTCACTTTCGTCAACAATGTACTGTATCTTTATAATTATTTTTACACACATCTCTGTGGTTAGGATAAATTCCTTGAAGAGGACTCTGGGTCAAAGGTCATGTACATTTTAAATACTTAATGAGAGAATGATGACAATATTCTCACAAATTGTCATGTAAAAATTTTAAATCCTGTATTCGAGATGAATTTTAAAATTTTAAAAGGACCAGAACTGCATATAAAAATCCTGACAAACAAACAAACATATATATATATTCAGAGAACAAGTTTACAATGTGATTAACAGCTTTTTATTGCTTAGTTTTATACTGTTTTAACTTGTATTTTAGCTTATTCCTACACTATAGTTCTCCAGCAAAGAACAAAATAATTCTAACAACAAAAGAGAAAACTTAAAAAAAATAAAAATTCAATATTTCAGAGAACAAAGGATCACTTACAATGAAGAATGATCTGGTTGTTTAAATAAATTAAAAAGAAAAGTAGTACTTTTGATGACAAATTCCCATAGACTAGGAAAAAACTTGTAAAATATTTTGCTTAAAATAAGAGGGTCATAAAAAAGGGAATTCTGATGAGTAATATCCACACCAATGAGTAAAATGGGTAATCTAGGCACTGTCAGACACTGGTAATAAGATGCTATATTCATGGAACCTTTTGGGAGGGCAATGTGGAAGTAGCTATCAAAGCTTAAAATATGCATGTCCCTTGACCCAGCAATTCCAATTCTAGGAGTCTATTCTAAAGAAATACTCACTCATGTCCAAAAGGATCTTCAATGCAGCATTGCCTGTAATAGTGAAAAATTGGAAACAACCTAAATGTCAATCAATAAGTGAGTGGTTAAATAAACTGAGGTATATCCATACTATGGAGTACTGTGTGATCATTAATAAGCAAAAGGTATACTGTATTTACTGACATGAAGAGTTCAGAGACACTTTAAGTGAAAAACTCACAGAAAATGAACATTTTTGGTCCGATTTATTTTCTAAGTAAGTGAATATTTATGAACATACACATAAATGCATGAAAAAGGACAGGAGGGCCGGGCGCAGTGGCTCACGCCTGTAATCCCAGCACTTTGGGAGGCCAAGGTGGGTGGATCACAAGGTCAAGGGATTGAGATCATCCTGGCCAACATGCTGAAACCCCGTCTCTACTAAAAATACAAAAATTAGCTGGACATGGTGGCGAGTGCCTGTAGTCCCACCTACTCGGGAGGTTGAGGCAGGAGAATCACTTGAACCTGGGAGGTGGAGGTTGCAGTGAGCCGAGATTCTGCCATTGCACTCCAGCCTGGTGACAGAGTAAGACTCCATCTCAAAAAAAAAAAAAAAAAAAAAAAAAAAGGACTGAGAAGATACTACTATACCCCAAAGTGTTAATAATGGCAATCACCCCAAACTGTTAATAGTGGCTATGGGGAATTCTATAGGTTGGATATTATTTGAATAGTTTACAAGGAGAATATATTTCTATACTGCTTTAAAAAAATAAAAGTTAAAAGATGACAAGAGTATAAAATAAGAGTATAGTGTTGAAAAGTATCTCAGATAGGGGAAGAAAGATACTTTTTCAGTTGTCTCTGATGACTAAGTTTTAGACAAAACCAAAATACCTATTAATATACAGAGACAAATATTTTTAATGAAAAATTAAAACAGAGTAGGAGAAGTTTTTACCTTGCTTACTTTAGAATTTGTATCCTTCTCTGATTTTTTCAAAATTTCCTTTTTGTCAGTTTTTTGCAAAGCTGTTGACTCTTCTTCCACTTCATCTTCTCCTTCCCCTCTTTTTTTATCAGCTTTCTGATCTCTGATCTCAGCCACTTTTGCAGTGGGTCTAGATATTCTGGGAGATCTTCTTAAAGTACGACCCACATTTGTTTTCTCCTCTTCCTTTTCCGTCTTCTCTTGCTTGTTTTCTGGTTCTAGAACTTTGGGGGGAGAATCGGGCTTCTTTTTCCGACTTGATATCCTGATTGTTAATTTGATGCCCTCTTTCTGCCTTTCAGAGGTTATCTCTGTATTTTCTGAGGCAGTGGTTTCTTCTTCAGGAACCAACTTATATTTGAATTTGCTTTTTTGCATAGAACCCTTCGTCTCAGAAGGCTCCTCTACGCCAGAGGTCTGGGCATTGTCCAGATTATCCATTTCTAACTTGGTGAACTCAGAATCCTCTTTTAGGATTTCTGGGTCTCCTTTTTTCACAGACTGATCACCAACAGAATCTGTACTCTGATATTCCACCACTTCTTTTTCTGAAGCTAGTTTCTCACAGTGATCAATCATATTAGATGGTGGAGAAGTTTCAGCTGCCTCAGGAGAGCCAGGCTTTTCTGACTCTAAAGTACTCTTTGGAACTTCTTCCGGTATTGGGCTCAATCTTTGTGTTTCCTTATCAAGAAAAGTCTTTTTGGACTTCTCTAACTTTTCAAGACATTCTAGGATTGGTGGGCGCTTATCCTTCCTAGTTTTGGGAGACTTCTCTTCAACTTTCATGGTACACAACTCAGTGGTAGATAAAGCAGTTTTTAAAGATAGATCTTTTGCCATCTCAGAAGACTCAAGAGAAGATTCCAATACTGGAGGACCAGATTCCTCTATTTGTGTTTTTTGACCATGGATCTCTGAGGCTGATACTGAACTATCTGCATCTTTCCTCAAAGGGGCTGTTTCTTTCTCAAGCTCACCTATTTTAATACTTGTGATGACAGAATTTAAGGACTCTGTTCCATTTCCCTCCATGATGATATTTCTGTCCTTAGAGGGGCTATAGCTCTCTTCCTTTGTCTCATAAAACTTTGTCTCTATTGGTTCTGTCTTAAAATTTGGAGCTACTCTTTCATCACTAACTTCTCCATTTACCAGTTGTTTCCCTTCAATGACTCAAAGCAGTGATTGTAGAGATCCTTTTACAAGTCTCTTCCTCTTGTTTTATTTCATCTTTCAAAAACTCTTTTGTTGGAGTAACTGATTTACACAAAGGTCCTTTGACTGGACTGTCAAAATCATCACTCAATTTAATTTCTCGTTTTTTTAGTGGTATCTTGGCCTGCTGGTCATTTTTAAGTTTCTCAGTTTCTTCAGTAGATTTCTCAGTAATTTCGTGAGAAGATTTAATATTGCCACCAAATTCGATCCTCTCAGGCTCCTGCGCCACTGGCCTCTCCATGCTACTCTTGGTATCTTTAGGATCTGCTCTACATTCCTTCACCTCAACTTTAATGGGTTTGACATTTTCCTTGAAGGAATCACTTTCTTCTTTGATAATCTTTTTTTCTTCACTTTCTGGCAAAGGTTTTTCTAGCTTCACTATCACTGGCAGTTTCACAAGTTCCTTTTCATCTTCTTTTTCTTTTTTCACAGTTGTCTCTTCTAGAACATTGGCTGTAGAACAGTTTTCTAAATCCATAGGCTGCTCCTCACCTTTCATCTTTTCACTTTCTTTCTGTTCCTCTAAAAATCAGAAAAAGTTTAATTACATGAATAGAAGCTTTCAAGATTATAAAATATAAGACTTAGTATAATATATAATTCCATTTAAAGTTTCTATCTTAAAAGAGACAGCCTTTGCCATTGGGTATTTGACAATAAAAAATCAAATCTGACAATGAAGAAAATTACAAAAACTTTGAAATACAACTTTGAGAAATTAAAAAACATACTTAAAAAAATTCACGTTTCTGCTTTTTACTTTTGCTTCAGTATTCTCAATAGATTGCAAATATTTATGCAGTTCAAATAATTTATTCAAATTCAAGAGATGGCTTAAAAACATAAAATTGAAAATCCTACATAAAATGTTTCCAGAAGACCATATTTGTTTTACAAACTGACAACTGTTCTTCTTTGGAAGTCACTGAGCACTTTATTTCATTGAGGTAACAGGAACACGGCAGTGGGAAATGAAAAATACAGAAAGATAAAAAGCCCACATCCCCTTACCCAGAGGCAATCACTAGTAATAATTTAGGTTACTTCCTTCTGATCTTGTATGTTTTTCACTAAGTTGGTACCATGTTGCCTCAATTTATTCATTGAAACATTAGCAATTTCTTATGATACTAAATGCTTTTTTAAAAAATTGAGCTTAATCATTATATAACATTCCTCAATGTGATCATATTACAACTTACTTTATCAAATGCCACTACTGAACATTTCAGAAGTTAGTATTATATAAAGAAACTGTTTAGATTTATCTGTCAGTTCTTTGTATCTTATTGGCTACATATTTTCAACTTTTATGGAGTACCTAATACTGACGCTGATTTAAACATAACCTAAGCTATATTCAGTAAATACTATAATCTCTGAGTAGGACTGTAGAGATTGCACTCCAGAATTCATTAACTACTAATTTTACTTACATTTTTAATCTCTTCACTTTATTCTTGCTACTGAAAAACCTAATTCTAAACCAATTTTTACCAAGATGTAATATTTTCCCTAAAATTTTGAAATGATTCTTTTCAAGATGATAAACCAGTTAGGATACATTTCATGGGAAAAATGAGATGGAGAAAAGTGAGAAGATAAAGCAGGATATGTTTTTTGAAATGAAAATTTAACATTTCATTAAAAGTGAGGCCGGGCGCAGTGGCTCAAGCCTGTAATCCCAGAACTTTGGGAGGCCGAGGCGGGTGGATCACGAGGTCAAGAGATCGAGACCATCCTGGTCAACATGGTGAAACCCCGTCTCTACTAAAAATACAAAAAATTAGCTGGGCATGGTGACGTGTGCCTGTAATCCCAGCTACTTAGGAGGCTGAGGCAGGAGAATTGCCTGAACCCAGGAGGTGGAGGTTGCCGAGATCGCACCATTGCACTCCAGCCTGGGTAATAAGAGCGAAACTCCGTCTCAAAAAAAAAAAAAAAAAAAAAAAAAAAGTGAATGTTTTCATTACAAACCACCATTTCTTGTCTATCCAGTGATGTTGCAAATAAAAAACACAAGAACCATTTAAAATTATTCAGGGTCTGATAGCAAAGCAACTGTTACTAGTATTTCTTCCTGTTTTACAAAGTCAGTGCTATAGGGAATGCTGCTAAAATATTTTAAGAGATGACAGTAAAAAAAATATTTTTGTAATTAAAAGTAGTCTTACAGCATAAATAAGGTAAGAAAAAATTAGATGACAGTGATTACCTAATTTGTATGTTTTTCTCTTTCCTACTGATAAAATAGGTTTAACAAATTCTCATTTATTGAGATTACCTAGTGTATCAGGAAATTTAACTAAATGAACACCTTAACAGTTAAAATACTGATTACTATCTTTAAAAATAACTTCAACCACCACGTGCGATGGCTCATGCCTTTAATTCCAGCACTTTGGGAGGCCAAGATGAGCAGATCGCTTGAGCTCAGGAGTTGAAGACCAGCCTGGGCAACATGGTAAAAAAAAAAACCCAACTCTACAAAAAAATACAGAAAGTAGCCAGGGCATGGTGGTTCCAGCTACTTAGTAGGGTGAGATAAGATGATCACTGGAGCCCAGGAGTTCAAGGTTAACCCTGACCCTTGATCATGCCACTGCACTCCAGCCTGGGTGACAAAGTGAGATCCTGTCTCAAAAAAACAAACCAACAAAACAAAAAGAACTTCAACCCAATACTAAGTGTGTGCTAAACACAAGTTACAATTTTTAAAAATCTCTATTCTGATTTGGAAAGTATCTAAAGATCTCATTATGATCCCTATTCAACGTAAAATAACACTATGTTTTCATTTGAGGTTAATTGATCTTGGTTTGAGTAATAACGCAGCAAAATGAAAGAAGAAATGACATTAAATTCAAGATTCCCAGGTTCACTAATCCTAACTTAGCTGGTGGTACATCTTTGGGTATGTCACAAACTCACTGATCTTTCTTTCTTCATCTACAAATAAAGCAGCTGGACTAAATAACCTCAACTATTATTCTTCGCTGGTGTTATATTTCTTTTATTCCAAAAATGTTAAATTCTTGTTTTTTTTTTGTGTTTGGCTTGATTATTATTATTTTTAGACGGAGTTTTGCTTTGTTACCCAAGCTGGAGTACAATGACGTGAGCTTAATTCAATGCAACCTCTGCCTCCTGGGTTCAAGCAATTCTCCTGCCTCAGCCTCCTGAGAAGCTGGGATTATAGGCATGCGCCCCCACGCCTGGCTAATTTTGTATTTTTAGTAGAGATGGGGTTTCTCCATGTTGGTCAGGCTGGTCTCCAACTCCCAACCTCAGGTGATCCACCCGCCTTGGCCTCCCAAAGTGCTGGGATTACAGGCGTGAATCACTATGCCCAGCTGGCTTGGTTCTTTTAAAAGAAAAAAAATGACAACAAATAGTATTCTAGCTCCTCTAAATTAAATGAGTATGTTTCCAAAATAGTATAGAGAATGGAAGAACTAGGACAGAAAAAGTACTATAATAATTAGTAAATATTTGTTGCAACACTGCCGTAAAAGCAAAAAATTAGAGATAACCCAGATATTCCTCAAATAGGGAAATGGACAAATAGCCTCTATACAGAAATTAAAATGAAAGAAACAAATTCACATAGATCAATGTAGATACATTTCAAAAACAAAATAATAAGTGAAAAAAGCAAGTTACAAAAGGACAGGTACTATTTGTAGAAAAGTTAGAAAACACACAAAATAAAGCTACATGTTGAGATGGCCAGATACACAAGCATCAAAATCATAAATATGGGAATGACTGACAAAGATTGTGGTTGTTCCTGGAAATGGACGGAGAAGGAATAAGATGGAAAATGAAAGAAAAGAGAAGTACTGTTTCTATAATCTTTTTTTATCAAAAGCAAATTTTGACAAACTGTTGAAAACTATTAAAATGTTCGGGCCCAGCACAATGGCTCATGCCTGGAATCTTAACAGTTTGGAAAGCCAAGGCAGGATGATCACTTATATCCATGAATTTGAGACAAGCCTAGGCAAAATAACGAGACCCAATCTCTATCAAAATGAAAAAAAAAAAAATAGCTGGGTGTGGCTGGTGTGCCTGTAGTCCCAGCTACATGTGAGGAGGTTAAGGTTGTAATGAGCTATAATGGCACTACTGAACTCCCGAGGCGACACAGGAAGACCTTGTCTCAAAAATCAACAAAAAAACTCCAACAAACCAACAAATAAAACCACCACAAAAATAAAATGTTGGATACACAGTGCTTTATACTATTTTTTATTTTAACTATTTCATCAAAAATTAAGACTTGGCCAGGCACGGTGGCTCACACCTATAATCCCAGCACTCTGGGAGGCCAAGGCGGGCAGATCATGAGGGCAAGAGATCGGGACCATCCTAGCCAACATGGTGAACCTGTCTCTACTAAAAAGACAAAAGTTAGCTGGGCATGGTGGTGTGCACCTGTAGTCCCAGCTACTTAGGAAGCTGAGGCAGGAGAATTGCCTGAACCTGGAAGGTGGAGGTTGCAGTGAGCCAAGATTGCGTTACTGCACTCCATCCTGGTGACAGAGCAACACTCCGTCTCGAAAAAATAAAATAAAAAAGACACTCAAACAATCAGACAAACCTTAACGCTCTTGTGTCACCTTCACCTTGGCCAGCTGTGGGTACAAGAAAATTACTTAAAACTTTCTAAGTGTCTCTAGACCCTAAACTCTTTAAAACTGAAACATAAACACCTATACCTCCAGGAGTAGCTGTGAAGATTTTTTTTTTCTTTTTCTTTTATCTTAAGGGACTTTTTGAAAATAGCACATGCAAAGTACTTTTACACAGTACTTGGGAGCTATTATTAATTATTTGGCTCCCTCTTCTTACCACAAACTTCAGACACATAGGAAAATTCAGTTTTCTAAAGCTGCCATAACCTTTTATACTCTGTTAATCCTGCCTAGTAAGCAATTGCTATTCTGTACCTTTTAAGATTCCTCACTTTCCTAATTTTTTTTTTAACTTTTACTTTAGGTTCATGGGTATGTTATACAGGTAAATGGAATGTCATGAGGGTTTAACATACAGATTATTTTGTCATTCAGGTAATAATAAACATAGTATCTGGTAGTTTTTTGATAATGACCCACCTCCTACCCTCCACCTACTTTCCTATTTTGCAAAACAACTAAAATAACAGGCACGATCTCCTAGGTTGCCACTGATTGCATACAATACTACATATAAGGCCTTCAGAAGAGTAAAAACAGGCAAGCACTCAATGTTTGCCAATATTATTATATTATAGGCAAGATCTTACCTCCTTTATGCCCAGTTAAAATACCACTTCATTTTATAATTTTATCTGATATTTTCCCTATAAACAATTAACGGCTCCTTTTCTTGTGTTTGCAGATTGTGTTAACACATACTTCTATAGTAGCACTTACTGCCCAGAATTACAATTATTTATTTACAAATCATCTATCCTACTAGTCTTATGAACTACTCCCCTGGGGCAGAATCATGTATTACTCCCCTGCAGTAAGACACTC